CCACAAGGAACACCTTGTGACATTTGCTCCCATTGGCAGATCATGAGACTGATGCCTAGAGCTCACCACTCCCTAATCACTACCCTTGAGATCCCAAATTGCAACACTTAGACAGCTTGGGTCACGTGGTTCCCAGGAATCCAGGGTCTGTAATCTGAAACCCAGTATGCTAATGAGGCAACCTATGTGCTATTCTGTGATGGGATGTTAAGTCTGTTAGGCTAATAGGATGCTGTTTGTTATGCTAATAAGGTATCCTACTTGCTCTACTGTGATAGGACGCTAAACCTGTTATGCTAATAAAGTATCCTATTTACTGTGCTGTGATTGGACCACTACCCCTATATAAGCTTGTGCCTTCCTGCAATAAACCAGACCTGTGTCACTGAACATGGTCTCCTGTGTCTGAATGCAGCTCCGCTGACACAGTCTCTTCACGAGCCCTGGGATCCAGGACTGGGCAGAAGTGGTGACAACAGGAGGCAGCACGGGGCAAGCAGAAGAGCTGCCACAGCACTAGGTGAGCAGAAGAGCTGCCTCAGCCAGGGCAGGCAGAGGAGCAGCCTCAGCCCAGGGCGAGTGGGAGGAGCGGCCTTTATGCCTGTGAGAACGAAGGAGTGGCACCCACGAGAAAGGAGGAGCGGCCGCCACTGACGGTGACCACAAAGAGATCCTTGCATGGAGTGACTGCTTCAAGAGTCCGCAAGTGCTTGTCTCTAAGTCTCACAGGTGTATATCCTGGTTCAGGTACTCTTCAGGCATTACACACCAAGGGGACAAGGAGAGGTCAGCAGGGCTTGTAGAAATCAGAGAGGAGCTGCCCTGGATGTTTCCAGGGAGAAGCTGGGTACTGCTTGGCGTCCTGCTTCTGATGTGGGAGGCACCACCTCATTTTTCTGTCTCTGCCCTTCTCTCACTTCCGGGGGGGGGCACAGATCTTGCTTTCTCCTCATCTGCAGACCAATAAGTGGCCCATGTGTCATTTGTCAAGAGCCCTATCCTCCTGATCCTTGCTCCAAGGGCTCATTCCTGCTTCACATTACATCACACATCCTGCTTTCTCACAAACTCTCTGAAGATGCCACCTGCCTGACACTTCTTTCTTCTATGTTAAGAAACTGCCCAGTCTGACCTCAGAAGCTCAGAGTCCCTTAGAATTACTCCCAGGATGGGGAGAGACTGCTTGTCCCTGGTTCTGATTCTCATTTTTCTCCCCAGAGGCTGCTAACTGGTTCCTCTGGCTGGTGTGGGCATGCTCTGTTCCCAGCATGCTATGCAGCTGGTACTGTCTCTCTTCTGTAAACTGAGGCTGTCAAGGCTCCTTAAGTTAGTAAGGAAATTGCTCTCCATAGGAAAGGCTTGATTTTTCCTTTGGGCCCTATACTTATCTTAAAATTGTTTTTCTTCACTACATGTTTTCTTCACTGTACTCAAGGGTAAATTATTTTCAAAAGTTCCAGTAAAGAACTGAAATGTCTACTTAAATACTATGAAGTATTTTGTTCCAAAAAAAAAAAATGTCAATTCAGTGTATCCTAATGTATAACAATTCTGCAGTCTGGAATAATGAAGAAAATAAGATGCCTTCGAAAACTGAAATCTTAAAAAAGAAAATTGCTAAACTCCCCACCCCCATCTTATACTAAATTAGACAGCATGACTTTTTTACAGAACTGTGCAAAGAGATAATGTAACAAGGAAGGGTTCCGAAACCTGTGGATTAAATCTGAAATTAGAAGTGGCACTTGAATTTATTAGTGACTGGTCTAAGTTTCAGCGTGATACACCACTGTGTTTTGCAGAAATCAGTCTGAAGCACTCTTGGGATAATAGGCAAGCCAATTCCTCTTAAAATGGAATATGAAATTGGAAAGGCTAGATAATATATTTTTAAAAAGAATGTTTAACTCAGACCAAATGTGTTTCTAGAGATTAGTTGAGCAGGAGTCCTATTCATGCATTTGTGTTCATATGGTTCTTTTTTTTAAATTCTAAGGTATTAAGTCCTTTAAAATTATTTTCTCTGGGGCTGGAGAGATGGCTCAGTGGTTAAGAGCACTGACTGCTCTTGCAGAGGACTGGGGTTCAATTCCCAGCACCCACATGGTGGCTAACAACAGTCTGTAACTACAGTTCCAGGGGATCCGATGCTCTCTTCTGACCTCCATGGGCTTTGCATGACATGCATACACTTACACACATGCAGACATAACACTCATACACATAAAATAAAAATAATAAGATTAAAAATTATTTTCCCTTGCAAAAAATTCAATTAAAAGGTAATATTTAAAATTAAGAAAATTGGGCTGGACATGGTGGCACATGCCTTTAATCCAATCACTTGGGAGGCAGAGGCAGGCTGATCTCTGTGAGTTCGAGGCCAGCTTGGTCTACAGAATGAGTTCCAGGCAATCTGGGGCTATGGGGAGACTCTGTCTCAAAAGGACCAAAAAGAAAAATTATTTTCTCTTTGGGGCCACTTTAAAACCAAGTTTTAAGAAAGATAAACTATATTTTATAAACCACTGCAAAACATTCTATTTTTTAAGCAAAAGAAAATTGTCAACTTTCACTGTAACACGTATTAAAGATGTTAGGGAAGGAGGGTGGAGAGATGGCTCAGTGGTTAAGAGCACTGGCTGCTCTTGAGGAGGACCTGGGTTTGAGTCCCAGCACCCACATGGCAGCTAACAATCATCTGTAACTCCAGTTCCAGGGGATCCGACACCCTCTTCTAACCTCGGCAGGCACTGCCTGACATGGGTTCACTTACATACAAGTAGGAAATACACTCATTCACATAAAAATAATAAATACAATATTTTTTTAAAAAGATGTTACAGAACATCTGCCTCAGAGTCCATCTCACCAATAGCACACCTACCACTTGCCAACCCAATCTTAATGCCTGTCTCTGTACTGAAGTAGGAGTTATATCTAAAGCCACAGGTAGCAGGAAGTGGTGAAGATCATGCTTATTATACAGCTATTACTAAGCAGAAAGCCCTATCAAATGCAAACCTTGAATCTCCTATCATACAGCACAGTGTCCAGACTGACTGCAAGCATCAAGCCTACCACAGGGTAAAGAGCCTCAGAAAACCCTCCAGACATTACCGAGATCCACGAGTCTCCAGATACTAGCTTCTATTCAATATTTAAGTATTGAATATAAGTATGAGCACAGCAAATTATGTAACCATGAGCTTTGCTTTTTAGAAATTATAAAGTGGTAATTTATCTCCTCAGTACTTAAAATTGCACATCAGAAAAGTACAAAGTAATATAAGGACCCCTGTTTCTACACACAGCATTCACAACAACAAATGGAATGGGTAGAGTCTGGAAATACCAGCCCCTCAGCAGATCTGGGCAAGTGAAGACAGCAGGAGATGGTGCACCAGCTGACAGAACGTAGCAGACTGGTTAGAACGGAAGGCGATTTCCCACAACTCCACAAATGTCCCTCCACCACTTCAGAAGCTTGACTACCTCCCACTTGCTGATCAGCATGCTGTCCTGTTAGACATTCAGAACAGTGTTGGAGCTCTCTTGCTTCATCCCCCAGGAAAAGCAAATCTAGACCAACCAAGTTTCTTACCTATCCAAACCATATTCTTATAATCAACTTGTGAGTGAGTCGTGGTGCATACTTAGGGCACTGGGCAATTTCCTTCAACTTAAGCTTCTGTACAGGTAGAGACTCAGGGCAGATAATAAAAGACTCACTTCAGTATCAATTCAAGGGCAAAAGTGGTGCATACTTAGGGCACTGGGCAATTTCCTTCAACTTAAGACTCAGGGCAGATAATAAAAGACTCACTTCAGTATCAATTCAAGGGCAAAGCAAAAGTACCTCTGTTTAAAGAGATTAATAGTTCTAACAAATGCAAACAAACCTTGCAACACCATACCTTTCTTCCATGGACACTTCTTTTAACTGCTGGTGTGGTTTGGTGCCTTCCATTTCCCTGATGCTCACAGCATAGATCTTTGTGGTGTAGTCAATGGCCTTCTCTCTAGCAACGTCACTGTCATAACCTCAAACAACAGAAAAATTGGAGTGCCAGTTGATTTGCAAGTACACAGGAGGGGACAGGGAGGAAGGTGTAGTCAGTGAGGCACATGGATGATTGGGGCTCACCTCCATCCTCTTCTGCATCTGTATCTGACTCCTCACTATCCACCAGCTTGCTCTCTTGGGTCCCCACAAATTCTCTGGTCCAGATCATCAAGGCTGTGTCAGCGCCTCCTACTGTGAGCAACACCGAGTCATTGTGCAGCCACCTCACGTTGGTGACATGTGCGCTGTGCCCCACATACTTCTTGAATCTTGCATGCTGTCCCTGTAAGTAAAGCCGGAACATGGCAGTTACTCCACCCATTATTCCTTATTCCTGTTATTTTTGCTATTACGTTCCTGTTTTCTAGATGTGACAAGATTATTCATTTAAAGCAGTTTCACTACATGTCACTAGAATGCACCGTCTTCATAAGACAGAGCCTGGCTCACTACAGGTCCTCAAGAGGTATTTCTGAAGTCATGACTAAAGGGCACCTGGGAATTAAGGAAATAAAAGGAAGCTTGTTTTCTGTTTCTTTCAGGTATCAAACATGCCAGCTCCATAGGTCTTTAGTGCAAACTCCTGACTGACAGTCTGCTGACATTGGAGATCAAAAGACTCCTCCCTGCCTTCCCCGACAGTGGCTTTTCCATGGCAGCCAGTCAAGGAGAGAAGAACAAGGGGCCTCAAGTAAGGTTTAGACAACAGCAGTTCCTGCCGTGGACACTGAAAAGCATTTTTAATACTGAAACCACTCAAAAACTGAGCTAAAGACAAAGCAGGCTCCTTTTCAATAAACAAACATAGGTACATAAAACCTAGTTTATGAGTCATTACTGGAAGCTTCTGGAGTAGGGTGCCCAGGCCATACCGCTACACAAGCTGGTGGTGGGGGTGGGGGACAGAGTATGGCTGCGCTAGGAAGCCAAAATTGGCACCAGGAAGAGCTTCCATTTTGGGCTCATGAGACACAGACCTGGCAAAAACAGCTTCAGTGGGAGCCACTTAAAGAGGTAGTTGTTCCAACCTCTCAGCGGCTCCCAGGGAATACCTTATGCAATGTGGTAAGCCACATGAACTCTGAGGTCGGGAGCTGGCCACCGGTGCCCTCGATGAAACCTTCAGCACTTAACTGAGGAGAGGCTCCCCAAGGGCTTTGGCAGGGTATCCTGGAAAACCCGAAACCAGCAAGACACATGGCAGAAAACAGGTGCAAGGGTGTTTGTGACTGACACACTCCTGTTGGAGATCTCTATCGCTGGCTGACCCCTCTTTGTCACTCAGGAACTGCCCACTCAGGAAAGTGCTGATAGTGGAAAGATCAGCAAAGCCAATAGGAAGGCAGTATTTCCAGGAAGGCCTCCAAAGTGGCATGTTTGCTAGCAAACAGGTTGAGGAAAATAAGAATTTCCCAACCCCTGTGCGACCGTGCGAGACCTGCGGATGGAACAGGATGGCCCTGGTGGCAGCAGTCATACACGATGCTCATCCTCCTCCTGAGAGCATCAGCCTCCCCAGGGGATATACTACAAGCCAGTGTCTGCAGAGGGAAAGCAAAGGAGCTGGAAAAATGTCCTGCTTGCCCCCTTAGTAGTAATAGAGAATGCAAGGTTTCTGGATGGAATGGGAGAGAGAACTAAAAAAGACAAACTTCAGGAAAAAACAATGTTAAGGTGAAGTCAGGTTTCAGAAGGAAAGAAACACACAGAGAGAAAAATTCAGAACCACTGGAGCTACTGAACAAAACAGACATTTCCTGCTGAGAAACCGTGACTCTGTGGCGAAGTCACGGCCTTTCTGGATCATCATGCCAAGCTCTGGACCCATACTCTCCTCTTTCATTCAGTCAGGAAAGAACAGATGAATGCAGAGGCCTGTGGGCCGCACCTCCAAAGCACTGCTGGTAACCACTTTTAGGTAGGAAGTTCCTGAGAATCTGGAGGCAGCTGTGCACTCGTTCCCCGGTTCAGAGCAGTTCACATAGTTCTTTGTCTGTGAAGTTTGATGCTCTGAGGAGGAACTCGAGGGCTTGAGGTCATGGAGGTTTTTGCAAGTATCAGAGCATGGGGCTGTTCAGCCTCCCTATCTAGTAGAAGGCTGTAAGAGTGGAAGGGAAGGAAGCTCAGAGAAGCAACCTGATAGCTAAACAAATGACGTTGAGGACAGAATTTGGTTTACAAATGACATCGAGGACAGAATTTGGTTTACTCATAGACTGGGTGGATTCTGGCAGAGGGTGGAGCCTATCTCTTGGAGCCTGGGGACAAAGTGGCTGACAAGTGGGGGACCCATTGTGAAGACTTTAAATATAATGGTAAATATAAATAAGGATATGTTTTCCAAGGAAAGAAAAAGGCTTAGAAAATAAGCCCAGTAACTCAAAGGAAAGGACGATGGGAGACATGGTCAAGAAGACAGTTGGAGATATAGTAGCTAACAAATGGAGCTCAAATTCTGATCAGAAAAAGAGTGCTGTAAATCAGAGCTCACAAGCAGCACTAAGCCTAGGACTCCGTGTGGGAACACAGCAGTGCTGCAGCAGCATGGGGGCGGGGCGGGGGGAGTCTGTACCAGCTGCCACCACAGCTATGTGGTCTAACAGAAACTATCTCTCATAGTTTGCAAGCTGATTTGGTTCTATAAAAGTCTTCTTCCTACAAGGTCCTTTCCCATCTGTGTGCTCACAGGGCTTTTCCTCAGTGCGTGCGTGCGTGCATGCGTGCGTGTGTGTATACAGAACATAGAGTATACTGTGCTTGTGTGCTGTTTTTCCCTCTCCTTCTCCCTGAAACGGTGTCATTATACAGTTCAGGCTGACCTCAAACTTACAACACTCCAGCATCAACCTACTCAGTGCTGGACTACAGGTATGTACCATCACATCTGACTGTGGTGTCTCTTTCTTAAGGACACTAATGTTAGAAACAGAGGCCTGCACCTTTAGGCCTGATCCCACAGCCTGCATCAGGCCATGCCTCCTGGCAGCTTTCTCTGGGACTGAGAGTTAAGAAGCGGTCTGTGCTGTGACTTGACAGCTCTCAATTTACGGTACCTGGCTCCTCCATGCTCCTTGTCATATATGCTAGGCTGAGCTAAATGACATGATATGAAGTTTCCCACCACCTCTAAAAGGTTAAAAAGTCAAACCGTTCCTTTTTTCAGGGGATTGGTCTAAGACTCTTCAAGGGATGCTCTCTGAGGATGCTCCTCTGGCTTCTAACCACATCCCTCTCATGGTAAAAAAAAATCCCTCCCTCCCTCTTTCCCTCCTTTTCTTCCCTCCCTCCCTCTCTCTTTCTCACTGTATCGCCCTCATTCCTACTTTTTTTTTTTTTAAGACAGGGTCTCCCTGTAGCCCCAGCTGGCCTAGAACTCACTATGTAGATCAAAATGGCCTTGATCTCAGAGATCCCCCTGACTCTCACTCTTAATCTCTTAATGAAATCCTCTCCAGCCTTTAAAGGGCACCCTCTCCTTCTCTTTAAGACATGACTATGTTCAGACCTCCATATATTGTATTGTGTCTGTCTTGTGCTCCACCTCCAGGCTCAGTCATGGCCTTCAGGCCCTCTTATTCCAGTAAACCTCACTGAAGGGAAACTTGTCAGCTTCTTTTGAGGATAGACAGATACAGATTTACTTCTTTTAAATAACCAACTCTGTTAGATCAGGGACCCATCCTCATAAACTCATTTAACCTTAGTTCTGTAAAGCCCCTGTCTCCAAATACAGTCACACTGGAGTTAAGGCTACAGCATATAAGTCCTGGGAGAGGACATACTCACTTCTTAACAATGAGCTTGTTAAAGTAACTACAGGGCTGGAGATACTTATCAGCATGGTGTGCATGTAATATAAGGGAAGTTAGCTAGAAAAATCATACTTTTGAAAAGGGGAGAAGCACCAGGTATGGTGGCGCACACCTTTAATCCCAGTGCTCAAGAGGCAGAGACAGGTGGATCTCTGTGAGATCAAGGTCAGCCTGGTCTATGTAGCAAGTTTTAGGTCAGCTGGGGCTATGGGGAGACCCTGTCTCAAAAAAAAAAAAAAAGAAAAAGGTGGTGGTGGGTGGATAAGAAGAGAGGTTATCTTACCAGAGGAATTCTAATTGATCAGCAGTTTTCAAATGCTTTTAAACTATGAATCTATTTCTTAAATCCTATATAAAACTCCATGTGAAAAAAGATGAAGCAATTTAATATAACAAGCAAAGTATTTGCATAAACACATCACAGCCACAAACAGATGAAAAATACTCAGTATCATTAGTCATCAAAGAGGACTTAGGGTATAGCTCAGGGGCAGAACACTTCTTCAGCTTCAATGCCCAGTACTGGAAAAAAGAACCAAAGAAACAAAACTCACAAGTAGACAGTACCACCTACCACCCAAGGCAGACAGCTACACTCCACATGTCTGACACAGAGCTGACTGTCGGCAATTAGAACTCTTGCATACTGACTTCATTTTCTTTGAATATACATTCAGAAATGGGATTGCTGAAACTACATAGAAGGTCTCCCTGTAAATTTCTGAGGAAACTCCGTATTATCTTCCACAATGCTATTCCAATTTACATTTTCATCAAGAGTATGTCAGTGCTTATATACCTGCTCCCTCTTCTCCAGGCCCTCACGAACACTCTCCTGTCTCCTTTACTTGGCAGATTCTGCCCAGTAGTGATTCTGTGGTTCTCATTTGCATTCTCTGATAAGCGAGGCTGAGGACTTTTCATGCACCTGCTTCCCATTTCCATGTCTCTTTGGGGGAAATGTCTATTCAGGCTCTTCATCCACTTTCTGTTCCTTTTTTCTCCCTCAGGGTTCTGAGGATTGAACCCAGTGCTTTACGGATGCCAAGCAAGACCTCTACTGACTGATCTCCAATCCCAGACATATTTTTTTTTTCCACTGAGCTACATGAGTTCCTTATATGTTTAAGGTAGCTAACCTTTATCAGATATGCAAATTTTTTCTCCCATTTCCATTGTTGTGCATACCTACCTGTTTACTTTTCTTTTTTGTTTGTTTCTTTGTGCTTTTGGTATCCTTGAAACCTCCTTGGAACTATGTAAACCCAGGGGGCTATATGTCAAATGACTGTTTCAGGAACCCAACCTGGTCAGGCCAAGGAAGGGGATGAAGAACTTCCAGAAACAATAATAACCCTAGCACAAGAGCAAGAAACAATAGTACCACAGGGCTTTAATATTTAAATATTTTCCAAACCTTTAGTTTACTAAAACCAATGTATCATTAATTTTTCTTATTGTCCTGAAAGCAATTTCATTTTAAAAAGTAGAAGAATCAGGAGCTGAGGAGATAGCTCAACCAATAAAGTGCCTGCCACTCAACCCTGAGGACTTAAGTTTGGACCTCCATGTATGTAAAAAGTTGGGCCTGGTGTATCCCTACTGTTGGGGCAGGGTGAGGACAGGCAGATTCCTAGAGCTCAGAGCTAGCTGCTGAGCCACTCTAAGTTGCTTGAGAGCCTGTCTCAAAAAAATAAGGTAGAAAGTGACAGAAGACATCTAACATCAACCTTTAGCCTCCACACACAAGCAGGTACATGTGCGTGCACGCATGCACACACACACACACACACACACATATATACCACACACACATATACATATAAAAATTGTTTTAAATGGAAGAATTGAGGAGAATGACTACTTAGAAATGAATTCTGATAAACAGAAAGGGCTGGTGAGGGAGCAGTGATGAAGGTCACCAGGTGGATATGGAATGTGAGATCAACAGTAAAGTCCACTGGACATAATCATTAGAAGAGGCTATTCAAGGGGATGGAGAGATGACTCAGTGGTTAAGAGCACTGACTGCTCTTGCAGAGGACCTGGGTTCAGTTTCCAGCACCCACATGACAGCTAACAACTGTCCATAACTCCATTTCCAGGGAATCTGATGTGCTCTTTAGACCTCCGTCAAAAGACGCAGGGGCATTTACACACATGCAAGCAATACACTCATACACATAAAATACTGAATAAATGAAAAAAAATTTCAAAAAAAAGAGGTTACTCAAAATGATGATATGACCAGGAACTAACAAGAAGAAGAAAAGCAAAAAGCAGCCAAAAAATCAAAAGGAAGTGGATGCTGAGGGAAACGTGCTCTGTTCTAAATGTACAAACAATAAGAGGCAGAGCCAGTGAGCACGGATGAATGCACAGGCCTTGTGTGGAATTACCTTCCAGCGATTTCAGGAAGACTGAAATAAAAACTACCAAGAAACACAGAGGAAAGTTAGGAACACCTCTCGGACAGATAGTATGATATTAACAGAGAGCAAATTAACTTTTATCCTCTGTCAAAGATATGCCCTTCAAACCAGAAGGGGAAAACCACACATTTGCATGATTACAGATGCCAGCAAAAATGACTGCAAAGAATGTTGGTAAAGGCTGAAGAGCTTAGAAATCAGAAGTGGCATCAGACAGCAAAAGGTTCCTCTATCCTAAAGGGAAAGCTAGTCAGACTTTGTGAAATGCTGACTCGTAATCTGATGCAATCTGTGGAAAATCTAGTACAAAATGTTACACAAAAGTTCAACAAGCATTTCAGAGAAGAATTGGGGCTACCAGGTAGCAGGTAGGGGTCACTGCGAACCAATTTCACCTCTTTTATTAAGTGGCTCATTAGGCGAGATAGGGGATAACAGGCACAATACGTTCACCATTGTAAAAAAATTCTTGTATATAATGTTTGAGACAGAGTCTCATGTAATCCTGGCTGGCCTCAAACTTGCTATGTAGCCAAGGCTGGCTTTGAACTCATTATCCTCCTATGTCCACCTTTTACATGCTAGGATCACAGGCGTGTGCTTGTAGGCCTGGCTGGCTTCACCAAGTATTTAATGATGTCTTGTTGGAGGAGGCTATGTGACTACACAGTGAGATAGATTTTTAAAATATTAAGTGAAGAAGTGTAACTAAATGTGTGGACTAGCAAATGGAATGTCAGGTTGAATGGGGGCTTCTGGTGCTGGCGTTTGGTTGGAAATCGGTGTGAAAGCAGAGGGTGATATGGAGCAGGAAGGGAGAATAAACATTCTCAAGAGGATTTAAAAGACATGGTCAGGCTGGTACAATGAGATTAAATAGACAAGATAAAACTTTTCTTGGTGTGGATATAAAGCTCTATACTCAGATTTTAGTAAGTACAGGGTGGTGGTAACCTAAATACTTTTGAAAATGATATTCATATATATTGTTTACCTATGATTTCAGCTCAAGTGATGTCATTTTAATTTGATTTAATGAGGCTGTAAAATCAAAGCCAAGAAGGTAACAGTCCTGCTGTCCTGTGAGCTAGTCTGGTCACATTGGAAGCACCGAGTTCAGCTCTAGCTGAGGCAGCTGAATGAGGAACTCAAAGTCAGCAGCAAACTGGAAGCGGTGGCTGGAACCCGAGGCACATGGGATATGGCTGAAGGAACTGGAGATGCCAGACAGGATTAGATGAGCCTACAGGGAGTCCATGCAATCTTCCTACCCACAAAGGCGATTAGAGGACTGGGAGGATGTCTCAAGGATGATTTAAAAGGCAGAGCGCAGGTTTAGAAAAAGAATTCAGCTCAGAATAGTCACACCATTTAATAACTGAAGCTATTAAAAAAAGGAATTGGTTTAAGAGACAGCAAGTTCCTCATCTCTGGAATTATGCTAGTACAAGTCAGAAAGGCAGTGGTGTGAGATGCCGTAAAGATGATGCATAACTCGAGGTTTATAGAGTTGAGTGTGGAGGAACTGAATGCCGTGAGACTTTCACTTAAGACAGTCATTAAAAAATAGCATTGGGGAAGTTTTTGCATCACATAAGAGATACTGTAAATAATATTATGGACTGTTTATACATTCAAATTTTAAAATACCTATTTAGGTACAGTAGATAGATTTGGGGTAACTAATGAGACTGAGCAAGTATCTATAATACACATGAGATATTACCTTGACAGGGTATGAAAAAAGCTTAACAAAACCAAAATCATCCCCGGTGGCTAGGAGGGAGTGGTCTTTGGTAAGACTGGCAGCATTGACGTCAGTCACGTCGCTGTGAGCTGGCCAGATTCCCTCACAGGTAGGCCCCAGGACACAGGTCCATGTGTCCCATTCTATCTTCTCAATCTGCAGAAGGAGGAGAGAATGTGATAGTTTTGTACAGCCCAGTTTCTTTTTATTTTATTTAAGAGAAACAATGTTCAAATGAATAGATTTATATATATATTTTAATGAATTTCATGCAGTTTATCTTAATTATATTTAGACCCCTCCCCTAAATACACCCCTCCACCAGATTCATCATTCTGTCCTATATGTTAAGGACTATCAAGTCTTGTGTCCCCAGATGTTCCTTGGTATAAGTTCATCCACTAGAGCCTGGTCAGTCTATCTAGTGTCACTCCCTTAAAGAACAACAACTCTCCCTCACCCAGCAGTGATCAGCTGCCAATGGCTCCTGAGCTAAGGTTGGAACTTCTTACCCACTTCCTCAGTTCTATGCCGTTTTTTTTGTTTGGTACATAAACATAGCCAAATACACATAGCTGGAGAGATCCTAGATCCTAGAGAAAAACCTGTATCTGTGTCTGTGATATCCCTAGATAAATGCAATTTTACTGTATGCTAAATATGTACCCTTATATTTACAGACAAGTGTACCTCTCGCCACTCAAAGAAACTTCTTATTGCAACAGATGGAGACTATTACAGAGTTCCACAACTGGTCACACATAAGAATAAGATGCATGGCTCATGGTGATATATCTACATTGGAACTTCTATCCCTAAGGCTCAAGGAACATAATGGAACAGAGACTAGAGAGAATATTTATGTATCTCTCAACTCTAACCAATGAAGTTTTCTCATGCAACAGATGGTGATTAACCCAGAAGGCACAACTGGCCAAAAATGTAGAGAATAACAGACTGCAGAGTACGTGCCCCTGGATAGGACTCCTATATTGAAACTCAGTCACCTAGGGCTCAGGGACCATTGCCGAAAAGGGGACAGAAAGTCTGTAAGAGCCAAGTGTAGTGGATTACCATGAGGAAACAGTTTTCCAGGCTTCTTGAAACTTGCTTATATGAACTTACAGCAATGGCAACAGCCTGCACAAGACCCATGCAAACTCAAACCAAATGAGTAGTTTTAAATGACAAATTTCCCACTATCAGGCATGTGTGCCAGATGCTGAGGTGCCTCAATTCTTAGTTGCTTCTATTATTATTATTATTATTATTATTATTATTATTATTATTATTATTTTGAGACAGGGTCTCATTCTCTAGCCTAAGCTGGCCTTGAACTCTCAGTCAACTTCCTGCCTCCACCTTTCAAGTGCTTTAGATTACAGGCATGAGCCATTATACTTGGCCCCTAAGTTGTATATTTAAAGTAGTATCTATATTTCTTAATATGCCAACACTACACACAAGTATCCAAATATTTTTTTTCTAAACCAAAAGCATACTTTGGAATTGTAGAAATCTGAGCATTAAAAAAAAGGCTTTTAAGGCCTTAACTAGATCTTTATCACTATAGAAGCCATGACTACATCTGGTGTTTTCAGTCCCAGCACTCACACCTGAGGCCAGATCATTCATCCTTTGTTGTAGGAGAACATCCTATGCATGTAGCTATGTTGAACAGCATGCCTGGCCTTCAACCCTTGGCCCTCGGATGCATCCAGCATCACACCCCTGTCCATAAATACTGCCAAATGCTTGCTTATGGCTGAGAATTACTGAGTTAGGTTGATTTTTAATTGTTTACCTTTCTTTCTGTGTGTGTGTGTGTGTGTGTGTGTGTGTGTGTGTGTTGCACAGATGCTATTGGTGCACATGTGGAGGTCAGAGGACAGCTTGTTGGAATCAGTACTTTCCTTCTACCATGTGGGTTCTAGAGCTTGAATGCAGACTATCAGGCTTGGCAGCAAGTGCCTTTACCCTCTAAGCCATCTCACAGGACCAAGATGTAATTTTTTCTTACAGGACTGCTTTTTCAGAGAAAACCAAGAATTGCTGCTAGCTGAATATCTTATGTTCTAGAGACTACTTTAAGTGTAAAGAATTGTCCACATTGAGTTGCTGTGAATATACAGTGTCTTCATAATTACCTGAAATTCATGGATAGAACATTTGCAATTTCTATAGGTCAAATCCTGATAAATCTAAAGCTCTTTTGCCTTTTTGTTAAATAACAATTATCAATAACAACAGCACTGTGTATTAGGCTTTCCAGGAAGGTCTTATTTGCTTTCATCTGATATCAATCAGTACATCTTACCACTACAAGTTTCTTTAAATGAGCATTTTAAAGCATTGTCTAAGAAGAATATAAAAAAAAATTGAGAATTGTATCTAACATTGATGTCCAGACCTCTCCCTTCGGGTTAGAAACAACTCTGTGCACCGCTAACAACGCTGTCTGTGGTAATAATACTATTTTCTCCCGGATAAAGACACAGCCAGAGCTTTAGTCCCTGGGTGCTAAGTTCCTACATACTTTTTAGTCCTTTGCATTTGTCCTCATTGAACATTGTTTCAGCTGAATACATGAAAAACTGGAACCAAGAATCTGTGGTTGGTCCAGTGATGTGGGGTGCCTCAAGCAGGGCAACAGACTTAAACAGTTCCAGATGATTACCCTACCTAGGAAATATTCCATTTTCTGTGGCAGAAGTGGCGTCCTCCACCCCCTTGTGATATCCTATACTGACCTTCACAGCATAAGAAAGCAATCACCTCCCGGTTCTGGAAGCAGGCACTCTGGCCTCTCTCTTTCAAACTCACTGACCTAGACCCTCCCTATCTATCCCAATCCCTGCAGGGGTGCTGGCTTCAACAAGTGGGTAGGAGAATGGGGTGGTGATGCCCACCTTGCAGACAAACCAACAGAATACCCTTGACCAGATCTGGCCACTGTACTTTACAGGGGGTGCGGGGGGAAGCCAGTATTCAAACTTGTTACAAACTACAGAAATTACACTTAAAGCAGAATATTCAGAATGACCCCCAATAACCCATAGAACTTAAAAGGGTTAAATAAGCTTGTTTAAAAGTCTGGAGCCCAGCACTTAGGAGAGAGAGGTAGGTGAATCTCTGGGCATTTGAGTCCAGCCTGGTCTATATAATGAGTTCCAGGCCTGCCAGGGCTACATAGTGAGACCTTGTATCAAAAACCAACCAACTGGACTGGAGAGATGACTCAGCGGTTAAGAGCACTGACTGCTCTTGCAAAGGACCCAGGTTCGATTCCCAGCACCCACATGGTGGCTAACAACGGTCCATAACTCCATTTCCAGGGGAATCCAAAGCCCTCTTCTGACCTGCACTGAATGACACAGGTACACTTACACATCATATGCATGCAATACATTCATACACATAAAAATAAAATTTAAAAAAATAAAAGGAAAAATACCCAACCAGCTAACCAACCATACCCCTCTGGAGCTGAGAGGGAAGAAGAGTTCTTGGGGGTAAGGGGTGTATATTAGTATCCTGAACAAGAAGTATTTTAAATCATTCATTTTTTGAACATTTGATGATTCTTCCAGATACTTTAATACTTAATATGCTTGTATTTTAACCCTCACAATAGCTTTTTTTTTTTTTTTTGGTATTTTTGAGACAGAGTCTCCCTTTACCCCCAGCTTGCCTGGAACTGCTACGTAGACCAGGCTGGGCCTCAAACTCACAGGGATCTGCCTGCCTCTGCCTCCGGAGTGCTGGGATTAAAGGCGTGCATCACTACGCCCAGCTTTCCTCACAACAGCTTTATGCAGTAGTTGCCAATCTCATTTATAGATAAATCTCCTTTTGCAACAGAGGCCCCAGAGAGGGTCCATCACCTGTCGCAGCATGCTTAGGAAGCAGAGGGGACATGGCATTCAGGGTCTGTCTCCTAGTACACTGTCAGTTTATCCTCACCACACTGCATCAGATGATATTATATGGACATTTGTATATTTCTCATATTTAATCATCTGGGTATTAGGTTTGTATTAGCATAGTTATTTCTTTTAAAAAGCATCTTTTTGTGTATATGTTTGGAAGGAGGTGGCATAGGGGTGTGTGTGTGTGTGTGTGTGTGTGTGTGTGTGTGTAGGCCAGGGGACAACTTCAGGTCCTGTTCCTCCTCAGGTGCTATCCACCTTACTGGTCTAGGGCTCACTGATTAACCCCTTGCTGGCCAGCAAGCCCAAGAGATCTGCTTGTCTGCCTCCCAGCACTGGGATTATAAGCAAGTATACTAGGCCTGGCTTTTTTTTTTTCTTTTTAAAATATTTTATTATTTTTATTTAACATGCATGAGTATATTGCCTGCATATATGTAAGTGCACTTGTGTTGTGTGATGCCCGTGGAGGTGAGAAGAGGGCGTTGGAGCCCCTGGAACTGGAGTTACAGATGATCGTGAGCCACTATGTGGGTGCTGGGGATCGAACCCGGGTCCTCTGCGAGAGCAGACAGTACTCTTAACCACTGAGCAATCTCTCCAGCCATGTTCTTTTTCCTTTTTAAATAAACATGGGTTCTGGAGATCAAACTCAGGTCCTCAAGCTTATGCATCTTTATAAACTGAGCCATCTCGCCAGCATCCCCCCCCCCACCAAGTGTTTTTGTAAACAGAGATTTTCATACTTGGTCAAACAGTCTGATGGCCTCTTAGAACTGGCACTGAGAGAGGTTGATCAAACAGACATCAGCTGGAGGAGTCTAGCCAACATCATCAGCAGTCGGGCTCTTGAATAACAAATGTGCATCACAAAGTGACTATCTCTTCAGAGCAAGAGCCTGACATTTGAGGAAGGTTTATAATATGAACTTCCCTCTCGTGCAAATTCTTTTATATGATATTTGCTCATCTGTCCCAAGCCAACCTCCTCCTCCCATCTACCATCTGGTTACATTGCATTTGATTTTAGAATACTTATTTTGAGGTTCTAGAACTGAAAGGAAAATGAAAGTGAGGTGACATAAAATAAAGCTTGAGGACACAGGGAAAATCCCAGAGATGCTGTGGCCCCAGCTGTGGATTCACACACAGAGCCTGCAGAGATCACAGCTCTGTAGTTCTTTTACTCTCTTGGGGTTTTAATTTTCTTACTGTATGGTAAAGCTGACAATTATCACATAAAACTATTTTGAGAGTTAAAACACAGGTATAGAAAGTGCCCAGCACAACCAACAAACATCCAGTGAATGAATGACACAACTGAAAACCCCTCTTATGAAATACTAGTTATTTTATATCCAAACATTAAAATGAGGGCTGATCAGAGACAGAGAAATTGGAATTGGGGAATGAGAACAATTCAACAGTAAATAATTTCCATTAGAATGTTATCATCTATATCAACTTATATTTTTTATTTGCTTGTTTTTATGTATATGAGTGTTTTGCCTACACATATGTAAGTGCACCGTGGGCGTAGAATGCCCACTGAGGTTGAAAGAGGGTGTTGGATACTCTGGAACTGGAGTTAAGGATGGTTGTTAGCCACCATATGGGTGCTGAGAACTGAACTCAGGCCTGCAAGAGCAGCCAGTGCTCTTAACCATAGAGCCATCTCTCCAGTCTCCTCAACCTTTTTTTTTTTTAATTGTGTGTGTTTGCACATGCACACCTGCATGAGATTATATGCATCATGTGCATGCAGGTACCCACAGAGGCCAGAATCAGATCTCCTGGAACTGGAGTTTCAGATAAGTTGTGACCAGCTCCAGGTGGGTACTAGGAACTGAATCTGGGTCTTCTCTAAGAGCACTAGTCCTCTTAGCTGCTGAGTCATTTCTTCAATCCAATATTTTTTTTTACTGTGTGTGTATGGATGTGCATGGGCACATGTGGTGTCGTGTATGTGTATGTGTATGAGTAGGTGAGCACCCCCATGTGCATGCAGAGAGGTCAGAGGAGAACTTCTGGTGTCCTGCCCTATTAGTCTCCATCTTATGCTCTTGAGACAATGTCTCTCACTGAGGTAGGGACTAGGCTGATGACAAGCAAGCCCCAGTGATCCTCCTGTATCTGCCCCCCATAGTGCTGGGGTTACAAGTGCCTGTGGGGGTATAGGCACATGTAGGGTTACAGGTGCCTGTGGGGGTATAGGCACATGTAGGGTTATAGGTACATGCATGGCTCTGCCCAGCTTTTAACATGAGTATGGAGATTTGAACTTAGGTCTTTATGCTTGCACAGCAAGCACTCTTATCCACTGATCCATCTTCCAGCCTTGACAACTTGTATTTTGTAAGTATTGCATACATACTTTTTTTGGTAAGTACTGTGCATACTTCATAAATGATGAAAACACTATGACTAAACCCATGTCTAATTGTCTTTGGGAGGATAGTTGATAACACGGGCAACTGAAGGCAACACTTGGCACTGCAGCATGCTCTCACCTCCTTCATCGATCATTACTTAGCAAATGAGCAGGCTTATCTCCCAGGTCTAAGAGGACTTCCTTTTACTAAATCTCACACAATGACCTTTTGGTGACCAGAGTTCACTATGTGCAAACCTTAAAGGAGGTACTTGCCACAAAACTGCACTTTCAGGAAGATATAGATTTACAGATTTTATTTCACATATGCTTTATTTCAACAATTAAAAAACTACATAAGGGGCTAAGGGCATGAAGAAAACATGGCAAGAAGAGAAGAATCTGATATGAACTGGTTAGAGTTTTCAGAGTATTTTCCATTATTATTATAAATAATATTACTTAGTATTACAAATAAACATTGAGAATTTTTTTGAGACAGGGTCTCCCTATAGCCCCAGGGGGTCTGGAACTTACTGTGTAGACCAGGCTGGCCTATATCTCAGAGAGATCCACCTGCCTCTGCTTCTTCAGTGTTGGGATTAAAGGACTGAGCTATCACGCCCCATGAAAAGACATTTTTAAGTTTTTGTTCCTAGAGACATTGCATAAAGTGACATGATGGATGGGAAAAAGTCCTATGTAGAATCGTTTGTGCGCATATTCATTGTCTTCAGGAAGACAGCACTAAGCAGGATGTGGTAACCATTGTCGTGTCAGTGACACAGTAAACCCATGTCCTCAGCAATGGGGACAGCAGATGAATGATTAAGAAATTATCAAGCCTAAACTGGTTCATCAAGGTAAACTGAAATCTGTGTTTGTAATTAAGAAGGACAGATTTGATTAAAACACACATTTTCAACTATCCCAAGCTAGTCTTTAAAAGCTTTGCACAGGACCGTTACCTCCGAAGGCCTGATTATCCGCCTCTTGCCTCTTGGAGCTTCAAAAAAAAGTTGTTCTTTGGCACCCGAATTAACTTGCAACAATTTTCCTGTAATGATAGAAACAGGAGAAATAATTAAACTATGCATTTATCATTTTCTTACAAAATGTTAAGCATGGCTGCTATGATTTTGATTCATTTTAATCAATCTCATAAATTGAGCAAATGCATGTTATATCATTCCAAAGGCACGTAAAGATTATTACATAGCACAGGATAAACCCAAAGCTATAGTGTTAAAAATATGGACCTCATAAAATTTAGCCTTAAGTGTCTGACAAATAACAGCATAATCAAGCTCAAAGTTTTAAAAAAATTAAATATTTTATCTATTAGTTGGATTTTACATGTATGAGTACATTGCCTGAATGTATGTAAGTGCACCCGTGTTATGTAATGCCCACAGAGGTCAGAAGAGGGTGTCGGATTCCCCTGGAACTGGCATTACAGACGGTTGTTAGCCACCATGTGGGTGCTGAGAATCAAATCCAGGTCCTCTGCAAGAGTAGTCAGTGCTCTTAACTGCTGAGCCATCTTTCCAACCCCAAGCTCATAGTTTGTAGCACTGAAACCAGCTATGATTTTCCAAGTTCTGACAAAACCCCAGTTTTCTCTTTCCTCCGTTGTGTCTGGAATACAAATGAAGGGACGGCAAGCTGCCCTGGCGAGGCTCTGGCATCACAAGTGAGATGTTCATTAGAATTGCGTTTACTTAGGTCTAAATTCTAAATTCTAAATTTGCCTTTAGAGTTAGGAACAGGAAAAAGCCATGCAAAGCAAACCATAAATATTCATTCCCTCTCAATCCTGTCTTATTTGAAAATCAAAAAAGAGAAAAAGAGGCTTTCCTCAAAATGTTGAACAAACAGTCTTTCAGGCAGATATAAAACTATGATCTCAGATACATTTTTATGTTGAAAAAGATTTGATTTCTAAATTCTCTTCTGCAAAGGGCAACAATTCTTTATGACTTGAATATTTAAATGCATTGAGAAGTACTCTGTCTAGTATTTTTCTGTAATTTTTAATTTACAGAAAACTTCAGGTTTGAAATTCAGAATAGTTTAAAAAACCTCAACGTTCCTATGGTCCCTCTTCTACAGCCAGGAAGTGTGGCCAGCCCTAACTCATGACCTTCCGTTGACTGCCTCAGCTCACATTACTTTAAGACAAATCCCAGGCATTTCTTTCTCCTGTAGCTATGCATCTAGTAGCCTCAAAATGTTCTTCTTGGGAAAAATAATACCAAAGACTCCTCTGAGGTGTGCACGCCAATCTTCAACATTTATTCCTTGGGTCTGAAACCTTCAGGAAGTCTGGTGGGGAATTCTAAGTGATGACCTGGAAGCAAGGCTATCTCATCCCATTACTGATGATCCTATTTTTAATTTGGTAAGTTATCATATGACTGGGGGTGGGGCTGCCTTGACTCTAAGGAGGAAGGGAATCTGAAAGGGGGGGCCTCTGAAGTGAATGTGCTTTGGCGACTTTATGGCTGAACACACAAACAAGTAAAGAAAATAAAAGAAAAAGAGAAAAGAAAGAGAAAAGAAGGGGTTTTAAATGTTTGGCTGTTTAGAACTAGAAGAAAAAGAACAATCATTACTTTTCTAATGAACTATATATATGTTCTATATATATACACGTATATATGTATATATCTGCAAAATAATTATTAGGACTTTCAAAAGTGATTGTAAAATATGTGGGAAACTTAAAAGATTCAGGGAAGATACTCTGTGAATGTAGCTTATTTTTTATGACTTTTTGGCTATAAGATAATAAGAAAACTCAGAGGATTGTAATTTTTAAGTCATCCCAACAACTCACTCTACCCTACAGTTCTAAAGATATTTCACACTTAAACCCCAAACTACTAAAGTAGTCCAGTGAGGTACTTTAGGATTGTGACACAGAGATAAGAGTGGGGCTGGAAAGATGGCTCACTGGTTAAGAGCAATGACTGCTCTTGCAGAGGACCCAGGTTCGATTCCCAGGACCCACATGGCGGCTATGAACCATCCTTAACTCCAGTTCCAGGGGACTCCAAAGCCCTCTTTTGACCTCTTCGGCATTGCACGACACGGGTGCGCTCACATACATGCGGGCAATACACTCATACACATAAAATTAAAATAATAAAATATTTTTTTAAAAAAGCAGTGCTGCAGATACCTTGTGGGCACTTACCTGGCCTGTGCCCCTTCCCTGAGAACTACCTCTACCAAAAGTAAGTTTGATTCTGGTGGCAGATGTTGACTCAGACTGGGCTAAGCAATCAAATCCTCTCTCCCAGGAACTTGGCCACAGAGATAGATGCTGGTTTGGTAGGTGCCTGGCTGGGATGAGATGTAGACTTTGGAACTGAGAGTGACATTTGAGGGCAGCTGAAATCCGACCAATTGCAAATGAATTAGAGGAAGGAAGAGGGGGCAAAGTCAGTCCCTAGAGCCACAGAAGCATGGGATGTAAGATCAGCTGTCTCAAGAAGGAAAAGGAGGGTAGGGCAACTGCTGGCTTGGTTTCTGAGAATTTTCCAGTCCATTCCTAAAGCCAGATCCTCAGGTATTGCTTCCTGTTCTTGGAATCTGTTAGGCATTCTAGATCTTTTCAATAAACTCATTCTTCACCTTTAAAATTGAAGCTAGCTAGAGTGGGTTTCTGTTTCTTGCGAGATAGGATGTGAATTTAAAAACAACTATTTTCACGTTTAGGAAGGCCTAATTGTGGATTTTTTTCCTCCTTCCTTAAATTTTCCTTCCTGTAGTTATTACATTTTTTTCAAAAGAAAGGTAAAAATATTTAGGTCATCAGTCTCTTCTTCCTTTGCCTGCTGTGTTCTCATTTTTGCTCTCTTCTCCTCCCTGGGTGCACATGTGCACACAAAGACACAGACACACACATAGACGCACAGACGCACACAGACACACACACAGACACACACACACAGACACACACACACAGGCACACACACACAGGCACACAAGACATACACAGACACAGACATACACAGACACAGACACACACACAGACACACACACACAGACACACACACAGGCACACACACACAGGCACACAAGACACACAGACACAGACATACACAGACACAGACACACACACAGACACACACAGACACACACAGGCACACACACACAGACACACACAGACATACACAGACAGACACACACACAGATATACACAGACACAGACACACAGGCACACACACACAGACACAGACACACACAGAGACACAGACACACACAGGCACACACACACACAGACACACACAGGCACACACACAGACACACACACACACACACACAAAACTGAAATCTTTGGAGAACAAGGAGCAGAAGCAAAGAGGGAAAAGTCTGTATCGTCCATATATCATTGCTTCTAAATAATAGAAACTGCATTATTTCAGAACACATGAGTTACAAGTGAGAATGATTCTAAAATTGCACTACATGGGTCAAACTTGTCAAGCCACTTGCAGTGAAAACAGAATGAAAAGTGTAATGGCTCCAACCATTAACTGGCAAAAGCACACCTAGTTTGCTATTTCCAGAGATGAACTTTCAGCATCTAGAATAAAGCCTGTTTCGATTCTCCCATGTATTATTTTCTTTGCCTGGTATTCCATGTGTGTGCTTTCATTTGGGGCACTGATGTTCCTGCAAAGCAAAAGTGCTTTTTGGTTTTCCGGGGACTGTGGTTGCTATGGGCACGAAGGCTGCTGAGGCTGAGGCTGTGCCTGCACCTACGCCATCTCCACCCCTGCTGAGCCAGCTGGCTCTGGCAAATACTTTCCCTATTTCTGACAAGATCAGAGGAAGACTCCTGCATATAAATCCTGCTCTCTACTCCTCCCAGACTGTGGAGGTCCCACTGTGAAAGGCTAGGTTTGTTGGTTTTTTCAGGGGAAGGGGCCTTGGCTATTTGGATGACAGATATACTTATGGCTCTTAGGACTGTCGCTAAACCAGGGAAGGTGCATGGGCACACCTGCTCTTAGTCTCAAGAAGTACTCTGCTGTGCTCTCAAGCCATCGAAGCCACTGGGTCTGATACCTTCACCTGACTGAAGTTGCCTTTAGAACGGGAGGTGAGCTGGCTCTTCAAAGACCTTGGTCTTTCCCTCCTCTTCACTCCCAGTGCCTTCCTGCAATCCTAGGGGCTGGCTTGGGGCAGAATCAGTAAACAGTAAGGTATACCCCTTACAGCACAAGGCCTACACATTTTCAAAATGGAAGAAAAAAAAAAACAGCTCTCCAAATGCAAACCAAAACTGTAAAATGAGAATAAAATAGAGAAACTACAAATGTCAGCAAGGATGTGAAGAAATCTGAACCTCTGTGCACTATTGGTGAGAAGGTAAAATGGTGGAAAACATTGGTTTAACAATTACAAACAAAACTACCATATGGTCCACCAACTCCATCCTTGGGTATACCCCAAGGAACTGAAAACAGGGAACTGGAAGGACAGTTGTGCACTCAGATTCATAGTAATATTATTCACAATAGCTAAAGTGTGGAGGCAGCCTAGGTGTATATCAACGGGTAAACATATAAGCTAAATGTTTCGGCCTTAAGGAAATTATGACACATGGCTACAGTGTGGATGAACTCTGGGGGCACCATGCTAAGTGCAATAAGCCCGTAACAAAAAAGATAATGCTAGGCAGTTTCACTTAGGTGGGGTGCTTAGAGGCGTTAATTCAAAATGACAGGATGCAAAATGGTGGTTTCTAAGGACAGAAGGGACACTCATTGTTCAATGGGCACAGAGTTCTAGTTTTCAAGATGAAGTGAGTTCTGGAGGTGGATGTGATGATGGCTACACAACAGTGAGAGTAGACAATGCTTGAACTGTACATTTGGTAACAATAAATTCCGCATATATTTACCACAATTAAAACCTCTTTAAAATATTCCTAATCAAAACTTCTTCATAATCCCATTTTCTCTTGATCCTTCACTTCTAAAATAAACCCGGTGATGAGTTTTATCACTCTAACAGTGATGGTAGTGGTAGGATGACATTATGTCATTTGTGGGTGTGTGTATGTGTGTTGTACGCTCTGAACTAAGCTACCTCACCCTGTCACGCCTAGAAGGGAAAAAATCGTTGCTTTTTTATTTTTCAGAAAATACCAAAGAAGTGGAGTGAGAAGCAGCTACATTCACCTCCCCCTTGGCCTCACTGGTTCTAGATGACACTCAGGTGGGTCCAGCTCGTGCCCTTTACACTGTGTCTGGTGGGCATGGCTCTGACATAAAAATCAGGGGTGGGTGCTTATCGGATCACCCTCTGCCCTTGTCGGGACTTGCAATTCTAAAAAGCCAATTGCTTTCCTCCCATCTACTGTACTCTATAAAACTCCTGCAGGTCATATCAAATAAAGCTGAAAGTTCACTGCAGCAAATCTAGCTATGACTAAAAACCAGCCTGGCAGGACTGCCAAGTCCAATATAGGACTATTTCAAAAAGTACTTGAAATAAAATGTGCCAGCGACTCTGTTGGATCTTCTTCATGGCTGAGGCCCTTGTCACCTTTCTCTGGTGTTCATAGGTGCTCTCTGGCTTCAAGTTCTATAAGAGGGTGGGGAATGCCTTATTCAAAACAACTTGGAGCTATGCAGCACCTCAGAATAAAGCTTGGTGTCAGCTAGAGTGATGTGAGGGTCCCTTTTCAGTCTGTCCTGTCCACCTCTCCACAGCACCCTCCCTCCTCACCTTTAGCTCATAGGTATTACTGTTTCTTCAGCACCCACAGGTCTTCCCACATTGCCAACTTTACACACCATGGTCTTTTTGCCTGGAATTCTCTTTATTAACTTGGCTATCTGGTGAGATTCTGCTCATCTTCCAAGCTTCGTCTCAGAGATCATACCTAGGATTCTCCTGGAGCTCTCTCCTCAGAATACACATTGTGCTTGTTGTTTTTCTACCACAATGAACTATAAATTCTTTGAAAATAAGGATCCTGCCTACTCTTAAAGCTTGCTCCAGACATTAGCCACGTCTCCCAAAAGGCTCTAACGGTGACCCACCATGTAGCACTTACAGCCTGCCCTAATGCTGACTTGCGCCTCCTCACTGCTTCCTGTATGACTCACTGCTCCTTACCCCCATGCCTGTATTATTTCACTATAAGCCTATCTCCCCCACTAAATTATAAATTACACAGAGAACAGGGACCGTGCCTTACTTCTAGATCCTTCACATTTTCTGACTTAAGACTTTGCAAATGGTAGATGCTAAATGTGTTAAACACATAGACATAGACTAGTCTGCATGGTTTTGTGGCTGTAACTTGGATGAGGTAAGGGGAAGCTTGGAGTTTTGGAGAGAAAATATAGTTTCAGGCAAGTAGCACAGAACTTCAATCTCCACTGGCAGATGAAAATTGCTTGAAACTTTAGGGGCTGATCTCTGAGAGATGGCATTTTGGTCAGGAAGGATGAGGAGGCAAAGGTAAGTACAGAACATGTGCAACCCCAAGGCTTGTATGGTAACTGAGGGCATCACGTATTTCCATGATCTTAAACATCAGTGGCTTAAATAGTCAGAACATTAAGGATTATTTATTTATTTGTTTATTTATTTATTTATTGTCTTTTTGAGACAGGGCTCCCTGTTCCAGCTGTCCTGGAACTCACTATGTAGACCAGGATAATTAATTTTTAAGAAAATATTTAATTTATTTATTTTCATTTTATGTGTATGAGTGTATTGCCTGCATATATGTAAGTGCACCTTTGTTGTGCAATGCCTGTGGAGGTCAGAAGAGAACACTGGATTCCCTTAGAACTGGAGTTACGGACGGTTGTTAGCTACCATGTAGATGTTGGGAATTGAACCTGGGTCCTCTACAAGAAGTCAGTGCTTCTTACTGCTGAGCCATCTCTCCAGCTTGGATAATTAATTTTGTAATTTATTAATTTATATTTTATGTGTATGAGTGTTTTACCTGCATGTAAGTGCGTGCAATGCCCATGAAGGCCAGAAGAGGGCGTTTAATTCCCTGGAACTGGAGCTGCAGATACTTGTTAGTGGCCACCCGGGTGCTGGGAACCCAGCCCAGGTCTTCTGCAAGAGCAGCCAGCACTCTTAACCACTGAGCCATCTCTCTAGCCCCAAGGATAAATTTTAAGAGCTAGAAAAATATTCAAAATCTTGACAGCTCCTGAACTGTCAAGTTTCTGTCTCAAACTCAACTGTCATTCTTTCTGGAAACAATACATGAACAGATGTTTAAGAAATTTATATTAGGCCTGGAGAGATGGCTCAGTGATTAAGAGCACTGACTGCTTTTGCAGAGGACCCGGGTTCGATTCCCAGCACCCACATAGCAGCTATGAACCATTTTTAGCTCCAGTCCCAGGGGAATCCGAAGTGCCCTTCTGACTTCTGAGGCATTGCATGACACAGGTGCACTCACATACATGCAGGCAATACACTCATACACATAAAATAAAAATAATAAATAAAATATTTTAAAATTTGGGGCTGCAGAGATGGCTCAGTGGTTCAGAACACTGACTGTTTTTGCAGAAGACAGATTCGAATCCCAGCACCCACATGGCAGCTAACAACTGTCTGTAACTCCAGTTCCGGGGGATCTGACAGCCTCTTCTGTCTTCGGGGGGCTTTGCATGACATGGGTGCACTTATCTACATGCAGGCAATACACATAAAATAAAAATACTTAAAAAATACAAGCTGTAGGCTGTGGTGGTGTATGCCTTTAATCTTAGCACTCAGGAGACAGAGGCAGGGGAATCTCTATGAGATTGAGGTGAGTCTGATCTACAGGAAGACCCTGTCTCATAAAAACAAAGCAAACTCAAACAACACTCCCCCCGCCCCCCAAAAAATACAAGCTGCTTTACCTCTAGAGTCCCAGTCAATATGTGTGATGTAACTAGAAGCTCCTTTACAGATGCCAACCCTCTTGCTTGTAAGTACATTGTAAATATCCACAAAGTTATCATGGGATGCCACAGCGAGATACTTTCCTGTATCTATAAAGAGAAACAAGCAGTTAACACCAACACATTTGTTATAGGAACTTATTTCTGGGAACTTAGTATTTTAAAGTGGGAGAAAGGTTAAAGAAATATTTAGAATAATCCTTTTTTATAGAAAAAAAATTGTCCCCAAACTGATATTTTCTAAGTATCTGTTAACCATCTTCACCTTTTGAAAATTTAATATCAGAGATCATTTCTTTTCTGTGATGGAAGGAGACCATATCTTCTACTGTGTCAGCATTTACCACCAAGAAACCTCCATCATTCAGGCCGACTGCCAAGGCTTTCCCATCAGGGGAGAAGGCACAGCATCTTCCTCCTACAAAAGAATCCACAGAAAACAATCACTAAGCACTTTGCTGCTGGGCAAACCAAATGGAGACATGGGAGAAATCTGCATGTGTGTATCACATGTCAGTATGTTATTGGGTCATTACTCTTGTGAGAATTAAAATGTCACAATTTGGGATCTGGCCAGATGGCTCTGTGGGTAAAAGCCTATTGTACAAACCTAACAACTTTAGCTTGATCATGAGAACCCATTATAGAAGGAGAGAACCAACTCCAGAGAGTTGTCTGACTTTCATGCATGTATGTACACACACAATGAGTATTTAAAAATTTTAAATGTCATCATTTACACATATCTTCCCTACTAATCCAAGGACAATAATAATATCAAAAATGCATTTTGAGAGATGGCTCAGTGACTAAAAGTGCTTGTTGCTCTTGTAGAACTGAATTTGGTCCCCAGCACCCACATGGGGTGGCTCCCAACTGCCTGTAATGCTAGCTCCAGGGGATCTGATGTCTTCTAGCCTCCAAGGGCACTTGTATGGACACACCAATATCCCCCCATGATGAAAAAAATAAATCTTTAAAAAATAAATTTTTAATTTCTGTTAGGTTTATCCGTTCTTAATCTCTGAACATCTAGGTATTTCAAGGGAAGTAGGGTGAGTGAGTGGAAGAAAGGGTTAGAGAATTAGCATTTCCATTACTTGGCTTCAAAGAAAAGAAGAAACATTTAAGAACAGAAATTCTCAGCCAGGTGTGGTGGTGCAGGCCTTTAGTCCCAGCCCTTGGGAGGTAGAGGCAGGTGGATCTCTGAGTTCGAGGCCAACCTGGTCTATCTAGTGAGTTCCAGGACAACTAGGGAAGACCCTATCAAGAAAGAAAGAAAGAAAGAAAGAAAGAAAGAAAGAAAGAAAGAAAGAAAGAAAGAAAGAAAGAAAGAAAGAAAGAAAGAGAAAAAAAGAAAAAAGAAAGAAAGAAAATTAAAATAAAAAAGAGAATAAGGATTCTCCAACAAAATTTCTGGAAACTGTTTTTGGAATTTCAGGACTGAAATTCCATGAATCATAATGCACAGATAAGGGGTAGAAATTTCTGGTTGGCAAAGGATGGGGCAGCCATGCTGCCTTGAGCCTGAGTCAGCTCAATCTGGCTTCCGTAGGGACCCATGCCTCTATTGACCACATGCTGAAAGCTGTGTTCATACCAGTAACTTTGAATTGACTCACGTAAGCAGTATTTCCATTCATTCATCCACTTAGCACTTATTCACCTACAATGAGTCAGTCACGGCACTGATACTGAGACAATAAAAAGACTAGCTAGCCCAAGGGAGGGTCATCAGGGTTAGTTGAACCATGATGTACTGTACAAATTAGGCCACATTTTGGGTAAAAGGAAAGATGTTAATAATTACATCAGGATAACAGGGGTAAACTGGGTTGAACTAGCATTTAAGACATGGCAATTGAACTAATTTTTAACCTAGGGAATAAAGTCCATTCGCTGCCACTCAAACCTTCCGTAACTAGGCCCTAGTTTTATTTCACCAATATAAGTAAGTGGCCAAAATTATTCAGTCTCGTAGTTGTGCCGAGTGTGGCTTTGGACTTGGACCAGGTTGGAATCCTTGCTTTACCACTTACCAAGATGTAGCAGTAAAAAAGAGGCACCTGGGAGACAGCACCAGTGGTACATGCGTGCTCTGTGAGGCCACCAGGCCACAACTTAAATTCAGTTTCAGCATTTATTAGTTGAGTGACCTTGGGCAAACTACTGAAGTAACATGTTCCCATTCCTGATGTGTAAGTGATGACAATAGTGGCCTTGCTCCCTGGGTCTCTGCAGACTAAACATGACATGCCAGCACAGTTTCTGGCTCACCACTGGTACTACCTGCTCAAACCTGTTCTCATTGTGTGTATTCCTTTAGTGTATACTCCCATGTCTCTCTGTACATAGAGCTGCTCAGTACAAATAGTGTAGGGCTAGAGTCCAATCTCAGCCTTTCCTGTCTTAAGAATTCTTCTCAACCCACCAAGGCTCAGCTGTCCTGTCACCTTCATGAGAAAGCAGTCCCAGGCAGCAGGTCTGTGCTGAGCCTACATGGCTCCGTGTTTACGTGGATGGGTTCAGTTTACTCTTCCACATTCACTCTTCTTCCGTCTCCATCTGCTGTCTGCCTGAAGCTGGCCCTGGTGGACTGTGTCAGGGGCTCCCTTCCCTTCTGGCGTCTGGAAGCATGGCAAGACTCTGGGAGGCCGGGGTGCTTGCTCCTCTAGCTGCCTTATGCAGGGTCACTGCTCCTTTCAAGCTGCTGCCTCACACAGTTCTCACTCCCGAAGTCCCACTACCTGCTCCCTCCTCTTGTCCCTTCAGGCCCAGGGCTGCTGGGGGCCCACTGGTAAGAGTAGCATAGTGCTGCACTAACCCGGTCATTTCTTCATTCCCTATCCACCCTTTATAAAGAGCCCCGCTTTCAGGCTCTTCTCAAATTACCCAGTTGGACAGGCCATCTGCTGCTGGGCCTCCATGTCTGACACTGGAGATGAGACTGCTCATTGTGAGATCTCAGGACCTGACACACAGAGCTGCTTAATAAACACCTGCTGAGCCAGTGCCTCCTGGTATAGTTTTATTACATGTAGATGTCCAACATGTATTTACTCATTTATACTATTTTTTTCTATGAAACTCACCTTTATTTTTCTATAATAGGTTCTAGAGACTGTTAGTCCTAAAGATTAATAGCATTTTTTAAAATAAGCTGCTGCTTTTCAACTGAGTCCTACAGCACTGAGAAGGACATATTGCCCCCAGGTGGCAAGTGTCTGTGCAATACAAGCAAAATGAACATAGGGCTGCGGCACTGTTGGATCAGACCAGGCTTCTGGAACGTCTCTATCTGCATTTAAATTTAACTGCACAGTGAACTCTGAACTTCCTTGCTTAGCATATTTTGGGGTATCAGGGGCTCTCAGTAAATATTAGTTGAATGAGTGGGTGAATTCAACACAGGCTGTTGTTTGCAAATAGACACCATTATTGGCACGTAAGGAGATGCTATGCACCTTTTTTGAGTTTCCGTACTGCCAGCATACGGTGCTGGGAGGACAATTCCCAGATCCTTAGTGTCTTATCATCGCTCACTGTTGCGCAGATGGGCAGGAGAGGGTGTGCGGCCAGTCCCCACACTTCTCCTTCCATGTGTCCCTGCGGGAGAGGAAACAGGGCAAAGTAAACTGGACTCACGCTTTCTGGCTAGCCTTTCAGCCTCGTGCTGCATATTCGGGCTGAGAGTGTCTCAGACAGGTTTAGACATGACTAAACAGAGTTTCCCTGAGCCAAAGCGACTGCACTAAATAAATTTGTACATATGAACTTAAAAGTTTGGTGTATGAGATAAAAAATACTTTTCCAAGAGATAAAACATAAGATTGTTGTTTATAGGTTTTGTTTAAAGCAAGAAAGACATTTTCCATCTGAAAACAAAATCCAGATGAATTGTGAAATTCCCACCTTACATCCTTGTTGTGCGTGCGTGTGTGTGTGTGTGTGTGTGTGTGTGTGTGTGTGTGTGTGTGGTATATGTGCATAACGTGTGTACATGCTGTGTGTAGAGGCCAGAGGTTGACATTGGGTGTCTTCCTCAGTTGTTCAGGTCTCTCCTTGATTTGGCTAGGCTGGCTTACTACTGAGCTCAAGGGAGCCATCTGTCTCTCCCTATCCCCAAACCCTCTGGGGTTACAGATCAGTGTCAATGCACCTGGCTTCATTAGTGAACACTGGGGATCCAAATTCAGGTTCTCCTGTTTTTACTTTTATGTTTATGAGCATATTGCCTGCATGTATGTAAATGCATCCTTGTCATGCAATGCTGTGGAGGTTAGAAGAGGGGGTTGGATCCCCAGGAACTGGAGTTACAGATAGTTGTTAGCCGCCAAATGGGTGCTGGGACCTGAACCCGGGAGCTCTGCAAGAACAGCCAGTGCTTCTAACCACTGAGCCATTTCTCCAGTCCCGTGATCCTCATGTTTTTAAAGTATAACACTTAACAAAAATAAATAAATAAATAAATAAATAAACAAAATCTGAATTCTAAAATCACTCAATAAAGAAATATAAAGAAGAGATTAGTGCCACACATCAATAAAACAGACCAGATTGTACGATGAACTTCTGATTTTAATGGCTAATTATAAGGAGGCTTGGCTTAATGAGGTAAACAGGAAGACCTCACACAGGCATCTCAGAGGTGTTTGCAGTTGTAATGCTTTAGGGGAACAGGGCTTTCCAAAGAGGAATTAGAGACAACTTATTTGAGCAAAATAGTAATTTGAGATAAGATGCAAAGTTCTAAATACAATGGACATTTAGGTATCTGGGGAGGGCAGGGCTGAGTGTGGGCTTCCAGATACACTGCATCTTCAGCGCATTTCTCTTGTGAAGGCTTTTACCTCAGAGTCACAAAGGATATCATGGTCCACCGTCATATCTCCCCAGATGGATGAGTTTTTATGACTAAGTCCTTTTGCACATTTTACTTGAGGGAAGGGCTGCAGGCTCTGGGATTCTTTCAAGCCACTGGCTCAAACTGTTTCAAAACCTTAATCTGATCATTTTAAGATTTGCATGATGCTAGGGCAGACAGTGAGGCAGAGAAGAGCCACCTTAAATGACATAAGGAAACAGACTAAGACCTTACTTTATTACTTATCTCTTAGAAAGCTTATCATAATCAGTGTAATGGTAGAGCTGTGCATAGTCCAAGTATGCACATTGGTGATTTTCATAGTAGGTACTCAGTAAACCATAGCAGAGATTGCTATTATTAATTTAAATTAATTTATTTTTATTTTATGTGTGAGTGTTTTGCTGCATGTATGTAAGTGCAACTATGTTGTGCAATACCTGTGAAGGGTAGAAGAGAGGTGTCAGATCCCTTGGAAATGGAGCTAAAATGAAAACAGAAACAACACAAAACAAAAAAAAAACCTTTTCAGCAATATTAAAGAAGTTATGGCCAGAAAGAGGAGAAAGAATAGTTCAGAAGAAAGCAACAGAAGTGAAGACCCCTGTGAATACAGACAACCCAGCATGGTGCATCCTGGGCCCACACAGTCAGCTCAGAGTCTTTGAGGTTTGCTTCAACACAGAGTTTTTATTTATTTTTAGAGTTCAAACAGCCTTTACTGGTTGCAACAGTAAATGACGAGGGAACATGTCAACTACTGTTCATGCGACGGCATCTACAGACAGATTGTTGCCTTTCCTAATGCAGGTATATTTTTATGAGAGTTTTTAAATTTTAGTTTTTTTAATTAAAATTTAATTAGTGTAACACTATGGTACTTGTAGTTTTTGATTCTCCTTCCCCATCCTCCTGATTCCCATGTGTCTTTCAGCTCCCTCCTCCCCAAACTTCCTTTCTTCTTTGATGTCTCCTTGGTCCACTGCCATCTTCCTCTCTTCCTCGACATCTCTATTTCTCCTCTTGTGGTTGCCTTACTAATTTCATAGTATAAGAAACATTAAATATTAGTCTTTTTTTCCCCAAACTTTGTAAAACTTGGAACTTGGTTTATGACAAGGAATTCTGATCTTTTAATCCCACCATGCACTGTAAGACTTTTGTTTAAGGAAAGGCCCTGATGCATTCCTGAGTCTGATCATCTGGGCAGTGGAGCTCTTCTCCCTTCGTGCCTGATTCTTTTAAACTAGTCAACCAGGAAAGAGTGTGAGGTTGGACCCCAGACAATGGAGAAAAGACACAGTTCTCTTGCATTAGGGATAAAACACCAAGCTTCCAGGTTCTGTGTGCTTGCTGCATCTGACTGACCATACAAGACACACTTTTGCAAAAGTAAAATCTGCCTTGCCAATTTTGCCCCTTTACTTTGTCCATGAGTTCTTTGTGTAGTACTGATGGGGTCCTTGGATCTTTAGTTTTACTTCTAAACAACTGCCTACAGCCACACTGACCCCTCCATGTATACATACATACATACATACATGTACACACATATATTAAGCTAGGATCTGCATATGAAAGAGAACATGCAATTTTTGTCTTTCTCAGTCTGGGTAACCTCACTTAAGATACTTTCCAGTTTCGTTCATTTTCTTGCAAACTTCATTACATTCTTCTTTATAACTGAATAAAATTCCATTGAGTATATAAAACCACATTTTCATTATCCACTCATCTACTGTTGGACATCTAGACTGACTTCATTTCTTTATTATGAAAAGAGCAGCAAAAAACATGGATGTGCAAGTATCTTTGTGGGAGGATACAGAGTCCTTGGGTATACAGCTGGGTCATATGATAGTTCTACTTTTTATTTTTTTCATACTGATTTCCATAATGGAAACTGTACTAGTTTACACTGCCACCAGGCATGAATAAAGGCTCCTCTTTCCCCATATCTTTGCCAACATTTATTGTTCTTTCTTTTCTTTTTCTTTCGTTTTTGAGACAAGGTCTCCTTGTAGTCCAAGCTGGTCTGGAACTCACTATGTAGGCCAGGCTGGCCTCAGTCTCACAGAGATCTGCCCATCTCTGGCTTCCAAGTGCTGCGATTAAAGTCATGTGCCACCACACTCGGCTTTCTTTTCTTGATGGTAGCCGTTCTGACTGGAGTGAGATGGAATCTCAAAGTAGTTTATTTGGATTGACTTCTGTTCATGGTGAGAAATATGGATCTAAGTTCATTCATCCACAGCTGGATAGCAGTTTGACAGCACCATTTGTTGAACAGGCTGCCTTTTGTCAAGTGCATTTTTTTTGACACTTTTGTCAAAAATTAGGTGACCATAATTGTGTAACACAGATTCCTATTCAGGATATCTGGGGTGGGTTTAGATATATGTCTTTTTAAAAATCACATGTGCCATTCTAAGCCATTGTGAATGTACAATATTTCACAGGATGCAGAAATTTAGAGGAACCCTCTCAGTGGGCCTTGAAGGCTCATCCCTAATATGGCAAGTCTTTAGAATCAGATCAGGGGCAAGAGGTGGAGCCGCCCACTGAACCCACACAGTCCTGATGCTCATGTCATCATGGCACGTTTCTTCATTTTAGCTCCTGAACACACATTCACCTCTTCACCTGCAAGGGCTGTGTGTCACTAAACCAGGCAGAACTCCCTGGCTATGGAGCATTCATGTGCTGTTTGAACCTGATTTTACCTACATATGATTCCTGAGGAAAGGGGGTTAAGAAGATCACAATGTGCTTGTGTGAAGTAAGGCTAAGATCGGAGCCAGGCCCATGGTCTAAAGAAGTACTGTGCATTTGGGACGTGGGCAGCAGAAAACCTGTCTCGTCAGTTTTATGGACCAACAGATCAAGATGAGATATACCTAAGGTGCGTCACCCATACTTGGACCTGATTTGGATAAGATTCAGAACTTTGTACTGAACTCAGGTACTGTCATAGTATAAGGCTCCTAGAGACTGTAGGAGTGGCTGGGACATGTGTAATTGCTGGCTGGGGGTGGAGTGTGATGGACAGGCTAATGGAGGAACCCCTGGAAACCTTCCTGATTTTCAGAGCCTAGCATAATCATTATATCTTCCCTCAAGTGTGGCATGACCTGTGGCTTGAGTCTAACCAGCAGAATGTAACAAAGGTGAAAAAGTTCAGGGGAACATGTGATGCAATTGTGTTGCATAAGACTGTGATGTTTATTTTTCTCTTTCTTGGTAGCTGTGAAAAAGCAAGTGCATGAGAAATCTTAAGTGTGTCAGGGAATTATGGGTAGGGAGGTGGCCGAGGGTAGCCTCTGGCTAATAGCCAACAAGAACATAAGCCTCAGTCCTACAATCATGGGGACTGAATTCTGCCAACTGGGTGAGCCTGAAAGAGGCTCCCTGCTCTGCTGAACCTCAGATGAGACTGTAACCCTCTTCTTTATTGCAGCTTTGCAAAACCCTAAGCGGAAGAACCAGTTCAGCTGTGCTTAGACTCCCAGCCCACAGAAATGGTGAGATAATAAACGTGTGTTGTTGCTGGTCTGTGGCCACGCAATGCATAGCAACAGGTAGGCAACACCACACTGGGAATCTCTGTGCCCCCAAGTTCCTCCTTTGCCCCACACTACTCCCAATCTTGACATAAGCATGACTCAGAACAAGTATAAATGTGGTACCTGAACAAGCAGTGTCATTGGGCCACTCTTATCAATTTCTAGAATCTCCCCATTTTTTGTCCCCACCAGGATATGTCCATGCCCCAGAGTGATGGCACGAATTGAAGGGTTATCTTCCAAAAGCAGACCTGAAAGGGGAAAATACTGAATTTAATAAATACCACCAAGATGGCTTATTCATATAAATTTAGTCTATTTCAAAAGTACTAGGTACTAAGCAGTCACCCTTGATACCAAGGATCAAGAGTTCTGACTGGAAGAAAGAGAACTAATTTGTTTAGGAACCACTACAGGAAGTTGGTACCATTGTGTCCATTCCTGTGAAGAGCAAGTTTTCTATGACATATTCAGGGATAGCACCTTTTGAGCTAGTTGACAATGCTGCCCTTTTGATGGCGTAAGTCTTCAAGCATCTTTCAAACATATCATCCCAGAGCTCCACAATTCCGTCCTTTCCACCTGTTACAAAGCCCTGTGAAGGCACACAGGGGAAGTATTACATACACAGCAAAATGATCAATCTTGGCCCCGCCCCATTAGGATTCTCCCTTGGGTCAGGCAGTTTGTGTACCTTCTATCTAAATGTACAGACTGAAAGATCTGGTGCTAACAGTCTAATTTGTTGTATTGGTACAGTGTTACTTATTTAACTGTTTCCCATTATGGTTCACCTAGATCCTGCACACATTTTGTTTTGTGAATGCCCAGTTCATCATATCATGTGTGCATCTCTAATTCCTAGGAGAGCATCTTAGGTGTGATAGTTTTAAAGGTAGATTTTAAGTTTCTTGATAATAATGGATGCCATTTTGTTTCTAAAGAAAACTACAGAATTACTCATTATCTTCTCAAAAAGTTTTTTTTTCTTTTTAAGACAAGGTCTCATGTAACCCAGACTGGCCTTGAACTCATATCTTCCTACCTCTCCAAACTACAGAATTACTCATTATCTTCTCAAAAAGTTTTTTTTTTCTTTTTAAGACAAGGTCTCATGTAACCCAGACTGGCCTTGAACTCATATCTTCCTACCTCTACCTCCCAATACTGGGATTACAGGCATCCACCACCACACACAGTTTTATGTGTTGCTGGGGGCGTGAACCCAGGGCTCAGTGCTTGCTAGGCAAGTACTCTACCAACTAAGCCCTCAAATTTGTAATTTAATACATTTCAATTAAGCTCAAAAGGAAATAAATTTTGAAGTTTATTACATTAAAGATCCCTAGTCTTATTACAGCTGGCCTTCTGCATCTGTGGATTCTGTATTCAGATTGAAAACATGATGAAAATGAGACCTCCGTGTTTGTACTGAACATGTACAGGTATTTCATTTTTCTTGTCATTATTTTCCTAACAACAGAACTGCAACTGCTTATACAATGTTTATAATGAATCTAGGCATGCTTCAAAGTATACTGGGGGGAGGGGTGTGCCTATAGGCAAGAACTATGCCATTTTATGTAAGGAACTTGAAGATTTTTGGATTTTGGTAGTCAGGGTGTTCTTGGAACCAATCTCAGTGGATACTGAGAATAGCTGGATAGAACTGTACCAAGGAGATTCAATCCTCAAACTAAATATAACTGGAGTATATTATATTGTGCTATCCTTGCTTTTCTTGATGATTTTGTGGCTTAATTTACTAAAAAGTATTTGACAACTTTAAACCATATCAATTTCTAGACTTGCACAAACTTTGCATTATATTTTAATATTTTCTAATATTTACAGTTTAAAGAAAATCAAATTTGCCAGTCAAAGAGCAGCTTAACTATGAAAACTACCATTACAATTGCTTACCTAACCAAGGCCTGCTTTGGTTGTGGGACCAACATATTTACTACTATATAAAAATGTATTGAGGGCTTCGGGGCTGGAGAGATGGCTCAGCGGTTAAGAGCACTGACTGCTCTTGCAGAGGACCCAGGTTCAATTCCCAGCACCCACATGGCGGCTACGAACTGTCCTTAACTCCAGTTCCAGGGGAATCCGAAGCCCTCTTCTGACCTCCATGGCATTGCATGACACGGGTGCACTCACATACATGCAGGCAATACACTCATACACATGAAATAAAAATAATAAATAAAATATTTTTTAAAATGTATTGAGGGCTTAAACTGGAGGTCAAGGAGCACATGACAACTGATACCATCAGAAAATTCTAAATTAATGAAAAGTTTGCATTTTCAGGTATATTAATTGGAAAAGGTGTTTTAATAGTATTGAAGATTAAATGCAGTCTTTTATAAAGGAACACTGTAAGACAATGGGTGACTGGATGGGTCAGGACAAAGATGAACGGGGGTGCAAATTCAGCTGATAAGCACACTAGACTCTAACACTCTGGGTAAAACTGAACCTATCTATGCAGGAGAAAACTGGTTATGAATGTAACTTTTAGTCATAACAAACCAATGCGTTGGCCAGTAAACTAACTAGTTGGTACTTCTAGGTCTCTGCCCACTGAGTCATCAGAGAGAAGACAGTGCTGAAATACATCTTCGGTCTCTTCTGCTACTGTGTGCCCATAATTTCTCAAGGGGCTTCTTAATGGGTACATGCTGTGTGCACATACTTCTCAAGGGCCTCCAGGGGTGAGAGCTGGGAAATCCATGGGTGAAAAAAAATGGTACATGAACAACTACTAACAAAAGAGAAATTACACAAATTTTGTGCATTCTCTTGCTTATTATCCTTTGGCTAATCCTTCATAGCAACTACTTCCTAAATCATATAGGGTCACTTTTAGATCCAGGCATCTTCCTAGTGGTTCTCCTAAAGCTGATGAGGAAAAATAATTCTAAAAGACACCAGGGGGCTGAAGAGATGGCTCAGCAGTTAAGAGCATGGGCTGCTTTTCCAGAGGACCTGGGTTCGATTCCCAGCACCCACATGGCAGCTAACAACTGTCCATAACTCCAGTTCCAGGGGATGTGATGCCCTCTTCTGGCCTGTGCAGGATTTGCACAACACAGACGTGTGTGTGTGTGTGTGTGTGTGTGTGTGTGTGTGTGTGTGTATGCAGGCAAAACACTCATACACATAAAATCAAAATAAACTAAAAATTAAAATATTAAAAAAGCACCATACCTTATCCAATGCATACATAGCAAACACAGGCCCATCATGAGCTTTCACTGTCTTCAGTAGTAGAACATCCTTCCAGATAAAAATGTCCCCAGTAGCTGCTCCTGAGAACACTAGATCTTCCATTCTCCCATAAGAAACACACATCATTGTTTCTAGTTTCCCAGCACTTCCAAAAATTCCTCTTTTAGAGATGAAGCCCCCACCTGGAACAGACCAAGACTATTTACTACCTTTTAAAAGTTGAGGTTTCCTGTATGCATGTAGAATGACTATCTTTAATGAAAAACCCAGTGTCTGCACTATGTAAATGCACCCACTTGTTTATGTGTCAAAGTAACAGAAACAAGAGCATCCGAAGACGATTTCTCAGCCACTCATTTTTTTAAAATTTCAATTTATTTTTTGTATTTTTAAAAATATTTTATTTAGCTGAGCGTGGTGACACACCCCTTTAATCCCAGCATGTGGGAGGCAGATGCAGGCAGATCTCTGTCCGTTCAAGGCCAGCCTGATCTACATAGTGAGTTCCAGGACAGCTGGGGCTACAGAGAGACCCTGTCTCAAAAAGACCAAAAAAAATGTATTTATTTATTTATTTATTTTTATGTGTATGCATGGATTGCCTGCATGTAGGTAAGTGCACCAGTGTCATGCAGTGCCCTCAGAGGACTGAAGAGGCTGTCAGATTCCCTGGAACTGGAGTTACGGACAGTCGTTAGATGCCATGTGGGTGCTGGGATTCGAACCCAGGTCTTCTGCAAGAACAGCCAGTGTTCTTAACCACTGAGCCATCTCTCCAGTCCCCTACTTTTTGTATTTTTACTTCATGTATATGGGTGTATTTCCTGCAGGTATGTAAGTGTACCCATGTTGTGCAATGCCTGCAGAGGTCAGAAGAGGGCATTTGATTTCCTGGAACTGGAGTTATGGATGGCTGTAGCTCCCATGTGGGTGCTGGGATTTGAACCTGGGTCGTCTGCAAAAGCAGCCATTGCTCTTAACCACTGAACAATCTCTCCAGCCCTCAGCCACTCATTTTGTCAGTGTCTACCAGATTCCTACTGATGTGATGCTCAATGCTAGGCATACAGTGCAAGAACATACATAGTCCCTGCCTTCAAGGGAGGACTAAATATGCATCCTATTCTAAGACATAAACACCTAACCATGGCTAAGTGTAAGTCCTGTGCAAGCTTGAGGAGGGAGTTACTAAGTGGCTCAGGGAGAGCCTTACAGAGTGCTGAAAAAAAAAAAAAAAAAAAAAAAAAAAAAAAAAACAAAAAACAAATCAGGACTGGCTGTATATGTAAAATGTAAACCCCACATGTGTTCTCCCTCAGTTGTTAGCATGGCAGTTTGGAGTGAGGACTGTTGTATAGGGGCCCCATTCCCTACACTCCCTTCTGAGAAACCCATTCAGGACTGTTACACTTAGGCTGGCTTCTACACATACTTGGTACTACTATTGTCCTTCTTGCAAACGCAGAAAGCACTTGAACAGGAGCCTGGGTGCTTTTGTACATTGTAAGATAGGACTTGGTACCAAAGTTAATACTAAGAATTCAGAAGCATGGCTGGAGAGCTGGCTCAGCAGTTAAAAGCACTGGCTGCTCTTGCAGAGGATCAGGGTTTGGTTCCCAGCACCCACATGGTAACTAACCATCCTTAACTCCAGTTGCAGGAGAACCATTGCCCTCTTCTGGCCTCTGCTGGCATTGCATGACATGGGTGCATTTATATATATGCAAGCAAAACATTCATACACATTAAAAAAAAAATAAAAGAGTTTAAAAAAAGAATTCAGAAGCAATTACAATCACGGGCCTTGCTTATTAGTGAGAACACATGCTCCCTTCTTACTCATGCTTATTTACTCCTACTCTTGCCAATATAAAATCTACAAATATTTATTGTGATCACTGTCTATGAGCAGAGCCAGGCTTTAATTCACAGACCAAATTTGGTGATATAGTAATACAAGAACTCTCAAAATATTGCAAACTTTATTCACTCAACCAAAGTAATTACTTCCCACTCAGTTCTCCAACATAATTATTGCTTTCAGTTCAGATGACTAATATAAAAATCATTATTTTCAAAGCAGAATATTTTTTGAAGCTTTCTAGACACAGGGCTTTATGTTTTGCAGCACAGACACTTAATAGCCCAATACAAAAAATGGAAGAGATTATTTATCAGTTATGTTTTTATCTTAGTTTTCAGAGGGACTAGCCACATAGTGGCAATAGGAAACCCTCCCCCAGGACTGAGGTAAAGCTCTCAGCTATATAAATGAGAAACCCAAATTAAAGTACAGCAGTACCTGCTTGTTGCCAGAATTTGATATGCTTAATCCCAACTGTAACCAGCTTGTCAACATGGTGTGGATTACATTTTACCACAAATATCTTATCTTTATGTCCTCTGAAAGAGACAAATAGGAAAGATGCAAGTACTGATAGTTTTATTAAAAGCATAAATTTGATCTAACTTTCACTAAAAGACAAATAACCAAGAAAACATTTAAACACAGGAGTCTACTCTAAAATAACAGCTTTTTTTGGACCTTTACCTCCTATCCTAATATTCCCACCAATATCCACTTAGTTATGAGCCAAACAAATTTTAAATGTTATCAGAATCTCTCCGTAAGATAAAAATCAATGACACCGCTGTAGGATTGTAGGTGATAGTGAGACCTTGGGCAGGAGAAGTTGAGGCAACAGAAATATTGTTGGTGAAAAGCCTCAAATATAGCATTCTTACTAGAGGTCACTTCAGTTGAACTGAGTTTTGCTAGAAATGTTTTGACTCTAACAGAAGCCCCTGGCCCATGGCCATAGAGGAAGAAAAGATGTCATCTACTAATTCAGAAGACGTTAGGATGCTGAACAATATGAAAATTAGGTTTACTCCCAGGCAAGATGTGTCCACTAGTGCAATAGTGGCATGAATGTAATAGAGGTAACCAACCATTTTCTCATTGGGTTTGAGGTCCATTCCATAGGAGGGAATCATGACTGGTATTGTTAGCCTGGTCAAAAGCCTGTGGCTAGGGAGGTCAAAGCCCACAGTGGGCAAGCTACTGCTGTTGTTTGACTAAACCAACATGATGCCCCTCTCAAACTGCTTTCTACATGCCTATACATTAGTGCTGCTGTCAGTTCTGGTCAGAGACGCTTCTTTTTGAGGGGGAAGAGTGCAAGAGCTTCAGGAAGCGATGGAGTGCTGTGGAACACTGTCTTTCATGCATGACATGCTTGAATTCTCAGCACCTGTGATCACCCAAATAAGACCTGTACAACATTGGGCCTGTCAACATTCCATGATGGAGGTGGGAGGGGATCAAGAAGTACTGCTCCTCCTAGAGGATTTCTAAGCAGTTAACAGTTACTGGGGGAAGGGAGACACACCTTCAGAGGTAAAGCACATTGTTCATGCTCCTTTAAATAGCTCTTCACCTATGGTCCTGTAAATAACTCTACTTAAACTCACTGGTTCATTAAAAAAAAAAAAAAAAGATATGGCAATAGAAATGGCACTAGTTGGGAAGAAGTGTAAAGAAGACAAGAGAAGGTAATAGGGAGTGAATATGATCAAAATACATGATCTACATAAATGAAGACATAATGAAACCATTATGTCTAATATATCCTATATAAAACTTAAAAATAAATAAACCAGTCAAAAATTATAAATATTAAAAAAATTAGTTTTATAACCAAAGAGGCAGACAGAAAAATATAAAAGGATTGATTGTATACCTAGGCTATGACAGACTTTTGGCTTGGGGTCAGGGAAATTTCTGGTTTAGAGTACAGAGTCATTACATTAGAACCTTGGGAGTTCCTGGTTTGTTTGTTTGTTTTTGGTCTTTCTGAAACAGGGTTTCCCTGTAGCCCCTGCTGGCCTGGAACTCACTATATAGACCAGGCTGGCCTTGAACTCACAGAGATCTGCCTGCCCCTGCCTCCCAAATGCTGGGACTATAGGCGTGCACCACCACACCTCGCTTGAATTCCTGTTCTTAACTGAGTATTTCATGTTCTTCTCTGACACATTAGCACATGATATGAATTATGTTAAGATCAGCTAATGAAAATAAACTGATCAATATCCCCAATACCTACAGGACTAGAGCTACAACAATCTCACCTACTATAGAGGCTAAAAGTACATTAAAAATCATGACCAAATTCAATGGGGGTTCAAAATAAAGCAAATGAATAATGTAATCCTATTAAAACATATGAGAAAAATCTTATCATTTTCACAGATACTGAAAGTTGTTCAGTATTTAAAAAAGAAAACACTCAGAACTCAATAAAGAGGGAGTTACAGGATGCTCCAGACTTACCCCTTAGACTTCATATCCCTTACACTCCCTATCACTGACAAACCCAGACTTACAATGACACACAGGCTGGTTCTCCACATATGCTGTGCGTTGTTAGCCTTTCTGTAAACAGAGAGCATGGCACTGGACCTTACTTAAGGTGTGTGGGAGTGTATGTGTGCATACTCTAAAGTCAGTCTCCATGTACTGGCTCTCTCCGTGCAGTCAGGAAAAAAGAGTGTGATGACCTGGTCAGGAGAAATTTCATCACTGATATTGCTCAGAATTGCCAGCTAATGGGAATAATGAAAGAAGACTGATTCTTAGTTGAAGTCATTATTTTTTAAATTCCCTAAAGATAACAAATCCCTACCTGTTTGTACCTGGCAAGTGTTAGTCACTACCTATTGCCCCTACCTATTGGTGTGCGACTGATTCTATCTCTCCTGATGTGATGCAACCAGAAGCACTGAAAAGTATTCTTGCCTGCAGGATTGAACCAATGAGGAAAATATCTGCAAACTATTTATCATTCATATATATATATATATATGAATGATAAGGGACTTGCAGTCAGCACATGTTAAAAGCATCTACTGGTCAATAATAAAGAAAACCCTACTAAACATGGGCTGTATCTGAAGGGGCCAGCAAGATGGATCACTGGGTAAAGCTCTTGCCATGTAAAGCCTGGCAACCTGAGTTTGATCCCTGGAACACATGTAAATGTGGAAGGAGAAAGCCAACTCGACAATGTTGTCCTCTGACTTCCACATGTGTGCCTTGGCACACAATAATAATAATTTTTAAAGGACTGTATAGGAATAGCCATTCCCACAAAGAAAATATACAAATGGCCATTAAGCAAACAAAGAGATGTTGAGATACCACACCATACTGACTAGGATGGTTATAATGAAAATGACAGACAAAAACAAGAGTTGGTAAGGATATAGAGAAATTGGGGCTGTCATCCATTAATGGGAATGGGATATGATGCAGACACTTTAAAAAACATTTTTCCAGTTCCAAAAATGTTATAGTTAATACATGATCCAAAAATTCTGTTCCAGGATATAGACAAATAGATCCCAGGAAAATGAAATATATTCATTCAAAACATAAACATTTGCAGCAACATTATTAATAGCCAAACAGTAGAAACACCCCAAATATTCATCAACTAAGAAATGAATAAAATGTGGCAAATATACACAAAATATTGTTTAGCAATAAAATGAAAACATTGGAGGTTGAAGAGATGGCTCACTGGTTAAGAACACTGGCTGCTCTTCTAGAGGACCAGGGTTTGGTTTCCAGTACCCACAAGATGGCTAATAACCATCCACAACTCTAGTTCCAGAGGATCCAAGGCCCTTTTCTGGCCTCTTAGGGCACTGCATGACCAACAGGTACACTCATATGCAGGCAAAACATTCATATACATAAAAAATTAAAATAAAAAATTACAAAAATGAAAATACTGAACTATGGCATAGCTGAACGTTAAATCACATGAACTGCAAGATAACAGTCACAAAGTCAATATGTAATTTAATCTATATGAAATTCCCAGAGTAGGCAAATTCAGAGAGGTGGAATGTAAACTCACTACCTCTACTAAGAGATAGAGCTCTTCTTCTGCAAATGATGAAAATGTTTTTGAATTGGATAATTCACAACTCTGGTGATTTCACAACTCTGAAAATATGCTAAAAATCGCTAAGCTGTATATGGTTGATAGGCAATTTTTATGGAATGTGAGCTGTTGATCAGTCTACCTGTTTTTAATTTTTTATCTATTTATCTTTGTTTTATGTGTATGAGTGTTATTCCTGCATGTCTGTAAGTGGCACCCATGTCATTCAGTGCCTGCAGAGGACAGAAGAGAGGTCTCAGATCCCCTGGAACTGGAGTTATGAACAGTTGTTAGCTTCCATGTGGGGGCTGGGAATGGAATCCGGGTCGTCAGTCCATGCTTTTAGCCACTAAGCCATCTCTCCAGACCCGAAGGCATTTTTAAAAAACTGAATGTGAGCCTGGTATGGTGGCACAGGCCTTTAGTCCCACAAGGCACTCACAAGGCAGAGGCAGGCAGATCTCTATGACAGACTGAGGCCAGCCAGGTCTACATAGCAAGCTCTAGGCCAGCTGGGGCTACAGGGAAACCCTATCTAAAAATAAACAGCCAAAAGTAAAAATGGAAACAAGTCATGATTCATCACCAGACATATCAGGACCAGGTGGGACAAAGAGAGAAAGGACTGGGTAGAGAGTGTGTGCTTCATACAAAAGGAAGCAATGAGCCAGGCAATCATAAAAGTCACTGCACATCCAAAGGCTTCCAGATGGACAGAAACTCCCCAGACTAAATCACTAATACATATTTTGGAAATAAGCCAGAGAAAACCAAAATGAAAATGAAGAGTAAACGTAACAATTATATTTTCTTGAGAGGAAACTTTGCTTATGTCTGTACAATGTCAAATATTCAGGAACATCTTTTTTGAGGGAACACTATGGTTTCAATGATTTTCATGAAGTTGTTTAGCAAATGTCTACATCTGATTCAATACCGAGAATACCTTTGCTATTTTTCTTTTATATGCATGTTAAATTTGCAGGGTTCCTACAACTGTGTGTGTGCACATACAAGAAAAACAGCTTCAGGTCCCAAACTGAGAGTAAGACGGCAGAAGACCTTGTATTGCTGCCCTGTTACAGGACAGTTCTTCATGACCGAGGCACAAGCACAGGAGAAAGGGGAAGGAGGCTCCACATCTGCCATTCAGAACACTTTCGTTTGCAGAGGGGGTAGGCCTTTGGTGTAACTGCGTTTTATTTCTTTCTATGAAGCTAACACATAACAAGACAGGCTAAATATTTGATTTACATCCCATCTCAAAAAATGATTTGAATTGGTTTATATATTAAATAACAACTACATAAATTAGGTGGCAGTGAGTGACATACTGGTAAGTGGGAACATTTTCAGTTACCAAGAGGTAGGCATAATATTCATATGTGAACATAGATTCTTAAAATACTAGAAAAATATATACTCAAAGTTACAAGATAAACTGTTACGATTGGGCAGAGAAATTTTCCTCTTGGTATCCTTCTGTGTGTTCTCATTTTTCTATGTGGTTATTATTATTTTGAAAACAAAGAATAAATGCTAATTTTACAAGTAGATGCACATTAAAAAAGACAGGAAAAGTGTCAACATAATATCCAGTCAGTTACATCATAGTCACCCAGTGTGGTTAAGGGGAGAGACCTAAACAGATCCAACAATGGAGTTAATAAGTAAAGACTTACTCTGAAGTTCTGCTGCTAAGAGAAAAAAAATTGACATGTTTTAAATGTAATCACCAAGGTCTGAAAGGTGATGGGAAGGAGAGATGGGAGAGGTTAATCAGTTATCAGTTCTGGGCTCAAAAGGCCACTTCACATTGTTAAATGCACACATTAAGTGAAGTTGCTCAATCTCAGAAAGTTTAAAAACAAAGACACATGGTTTCCCTTATATTCGGTTCTTAACCAATTGTGTGTGTGTGTGTAAACAAACGTGTGGGTATAACATGATATAGAATTGGGAACAAAAAAAGGTAATTTAGTATCATAGTTTTTTTTCCATGGTGGATGTGTTCAATATTCTGCATACTGAACTATCAGGAACCATTTCTGTGTTGCATAACTCCAATAAGTATTATCCCTTTGGAGCAGTGATTGTGAGAGTTGGGCTTCCTTTTTTATTCCATATACTAATAGTGCAGTGGGAACTGGACATGGCTGGACACAGATTTGTTGGATATGCTCAATGAGATAATACCTTATTATTCTTGGTAAGTACTTTTTGTTATAAATTTTATAATTTTCTACTAAAACTTTTCAAATTTAAGTTAAAAAAATTGCACTTTAAATCTAATCACAAACTCCAGGTGCCACCCCACCCTGCTTTACAACCCCGATCAATGCAGAAGCAACAATGACTGTTCCTTGTAGGGGCTGTCCTCATATCCCAAACCTGTCTCTCTCACTTCATGTGATGTGCCACTGCTCCCCCTTCCCATTATCTATAGCCAAACTAGGTTCAGTGTAAATTGCACTTTCCTTCCCCTCGAAGCTCTATGTCCAGTGGGCCTTTTTCTGTTTGGGATTTTAACCTACCCCAGGACTTGGTCCATTTAATGGTTATAGGTTAACAACTCCATAGACCCACTTCACAAGTATCTCTTTTTAAAGAGTTTCAACATTGCTATACATGGGCCTACTTTCTGTCCCTAACCTTTCTCATAGCAAAGTAATTTTGATGAACATTGGATGTATGCTTAAGCAACTTGATACCTACACTTTCTTCTGAGATCTATTCTGTTCAAGCTCCTAAGCATGTCAGAAATAGTGAATCACGGTCCTCCCTAGTCACATTACCCGAACAGTACAAGGCCAAATGGAGGAGCACAGATGCACCTCACTCTCATTACTGTGCCCTGAAAGATACCAACTTTAGTTCATTTAACTACTGCCTACAAGAGATTGGCTTTGCCTGGTTTTGGTAAAGCATGCCTTTAGTTCCAGCACTTGGGAGGCAGAGGCAGGTGGATCTCTGTGAGACTGAGGCCTGCTTGGCGTACACAGTGAGTCCCAGGCCAGCTGGGGCTACAGAGTGACCCTGTCCCCCGCCCAAAAAAAAAGAGAGAGAGAGACTGGACTTGGTTTCTGAATTGGTCACTTGTATATTAAACTAAAATATAAAGAGTTCTTAAGAGGGGAAAAAAAAGAGTAAAATTAGGCAACAACACAAAGATATCCAAATAGAGTAATTTAGATTTCAACAGAGACTTTAAAAGGTTCCTGTTGATAATTCTGGGTTTATCTGAGCTGATAAAGAGCAGGTTCATTTAAACATCTTCACAAATGAAGAGCAAGCCCCAAAAGTGCAGTGTATACAGCTGGCACACACTGGCATTGGTAATAGCAGCACTGCCTTTGATGCTGTCTCAGCTATCGACTGTGCTCCCTCCCCCCTCGCCCTCCCCCTAAGGACATTTCCAACGGGTGACCACACTGTTGTAGAGCAATCACCCTGCCAGAACAGCAGAGCCTGATAGAACAGGACTGTGGTTAAGCCTTGCTCAAACCAGCACTGGTAATGACTGAGACTCAGCTGTGCAGAGTCAGGGTGGCCCTGGGTCCCACATAAACAAGCCTTCTCAGAGCTGAGAGGACTCCCCCAGGCCAGGAAGGGCCACTCCACACAGCATGACTTCTCTGTCACTCAAGCCCCTGATTTTAGCTTCCTATCTAGCCTAGCACCCAAGGCCATAATTAGATTTTTTATTTATGTAGTTATTTATATGTTGATGTAAAAACATTAATATTCTGTAAATAGATGTTTATGTGAATATTTATCTAGTGTTTTAAAAAACTAATGTTCTTCCAAAGAGCTTTAATAATCCCTGACATTCCACTTGGGAAAGAGCACTGGCTAATGCCACAAGTGCAAACGTTCTTAGAGGGCAACCCTTTCAGCAGGTGTCCTGTTTTAGGAATGGGTCATAAGCTGGGGGATGGGGGGAGAGAAGGCAATTCCAAATATAGATTATGTTGCGTGCTTTGTGCTAATTAAACAGAGATGATCCTATCCACTAAGCATATAAGAATATACTTTTTTAATACTAAGGAACATTCCTTTCTTCTGTTTCTAATAATGTCTCTGGCATGTAATTGGTGAGTCACTCAGCTGCAGAGGGGCTTTCGGGGAGAAAACTGCACTTATGTTTTATACGCTGACATGGGTTTTTCCTGAGATTATTTGTAAATTCGAGAGTATGTTATCAGAAATATTAAACTAAAATTCAGGATTTAGTCTAGAGAGAAGACAGTCCTGCCTGGGGACTGGATAAGGGACACCAGAAAGAACAGTAGAGAAAGCACGCAGTCAGGCGGATTTATGAGCGGCTACCGCTGCCAAGAATTCCATCTCAACAGCAGTCATCAGAAAAGCTTCTCTTTCTCCTAAGAAGGTCAGCTGCACTCCTCAAGGCTCCATCTGCTGCCCCGCTCAGTCTCCAGCAATCTGTAGATCTTCATTATTTAAAGCCAACTGTCAAAAAACTTTCTTCCCATTTAACATTGTAGTAGGCAGTTATTAGTTTTAAAAGCGAACATCAGTGTTGAAGGCCATTAACCCTGATTTGAAACATAGAAAGGACGTTGGTAATGCAGGGAGAATTAGTGGGGAGGGCATGACAACGTGCTTCGGCGACAAGCTGCAGTACTAGGCTGTGGTGGCCAACCATCTTGACCTCTGACCAGGACGTGCACAGGCTGTGCTCGATGGGAGTAGAAAGTCATGTTCAGACTTAGTGCTGATTAGGCAGAAAAAGAGGCTGGGGTAAGGGAGGACAGGTGGACTATAAACAGCAGCTGGTCTTGAAGAGTCTATTTATAAGATGGGAAGATTAGGGAAACAATTTGCCTGCTCTAAAAGCAAGTGACAGATGCACTCAATGGGGCCTCCTTTTCAGCAGGCCACAGTCTCATGACAAATGGTACTTCTGACTCTGGTGACATTGACAATCTTTCACAGCCACTAAGACAGGAAAAACAAGGGGCAAGGCACAAGCTTTCCTGCTGCTGGTTAAACTAAAAAAGCTTCGATTGAGATAATACATATATTACTGAAAGCAAAGTGATGAGCTCTCTGGGGAGCATTCCAGAATTTTCTAATTTCCCATAACAGACATTTCAGATTTGGCACCATGAAAGAGTGCAATATGTGTTCACTTGGGTGTTAAGCTTTCTATGTGAATTTCATCTGAATTTGAAGATGAATTCTTAGCAAAAAATGAAAACCATTGACCTTTGACGAAGCGAGCTATCAGCAGGATGGCGTCTGAGCCCAGCAGCTTCTTACCTTGTCGTGGCTATCTTTTCTCCCTTTTTCCAGTCCCAAAATACAATACTGTGAAAATCGTCTAAACCAACTGACACCAGACATTTTCCATCAGCTGTATGAAAACAATACAAATGTCAAGTAAATCATTTTTTAATGAAAAATCAAAGCATTTTATATATTGCAGAGGAACAAGAAATTAACCTTAACAATCTTGATTAAACTCAAATACATTTGAAACAGAATGAAGTGCATGACTAGCAGTGGTCACGTTTCCTAATGCTCACCTGGCTGCAGAGGCCAGCCACTGACCTGCCTTTCAACCTGACAGAGTGAAGGGTGGCCTCCAAGGAAGTGACACATGCCTTGCCTATTCTATGACAGACAAGTCTCATGGCATTTACTGGAAGAGTGTCATTTGGCTTTGTGACTGAGTCTATTTTCGACTCTAAAAAAACCCTAAAAAAGCCTAACCTTGGTTGGTTTAACCTTCTAAGTTAAGAGTATCATAGAAAAATTTAACTTCAAAGGTTCTTAGAAAAGATGATCTTACAATTAAAGGTTTTCATTTCTTATTTTCCCTTGCTCAAATGAAATGTGCTTGTTAGTGACATTTAGAAAGCATGCATGAAGAAAATTATAAGCTGGGGAAGTAGCAGAGATTCGTAGAATGCTTCCTGCATGCATGTGGCTCTGTGTTTGATCCACAGACTCAATCCCTGCCCCCACACACATATTATGCCAAATTCTGGTAGGCCTACACTTGATGTAAGCCTCCTAGTCTTTTTCTCCACATAAATATGTTTTGAGAAATAAAAGCAAAGTCATACTGAACAAGCTATCAGCTAATCTTTTTTCCTCTATTATATTTCTGTATTATTAAATATCTAAAGTTTTATCAATGATTCCTAGGATTTGGACATTTAGGCTGCTTTTTAAAAAATTCTAAATGTGTGAATATATAATTAAATTTGAAATAAACATAGTTAATTTACATTTTTCCTTCAGGACAGAAGACAGGAGAAGAGGCAGAATCAATAAGCCTCCTTTGTGCCTCCTTGCAAGGCTAGATTCAAAGGAGCAGCATCACAAGGCCAGCACCCCCTTCCTCCTACAGCTATGCAGTTCCTAGGAGATGGGCGATCCAGCTCATTCGCATCAGTTAATCAAGGTCCCCTACTACAAAGGACTGACCATTAAGGTAGAGACATGCAAGTATGTGATAAACTGCTTTCCTGGGTCAACTCATTCATTTGAGGTATCAGCTGTTACTTTCAAAGGGAGGCCAAGGGTAGACTCCAAGTTAAAGTTGTCAGGCAAAAGAGAGGAAGTCTTATCAAACAGAAATTAGCTAAACAGTGAAAACTTCTCCTACGTCTCATGCGATATTTGTACCTGCACTGCGTATCTGTATTCACATTGCATGGAATATATTCATGTTAGATATTTATCAGGAATTTAAACCTACTTGAGACTCCTGTTTGGGGCAGGGGGCTCTTTTTGAGACAGGGTCTCTCTCTGTAGCTCTAGGCTGGCCTTGAACTCACAGAGATCTGCCTGCCTCTGCCTGGGATTAAAGATGTGCACCACCATGCCCAGCTGAACCTCCTGTATTTTTATTGGCTAAACCTGGCAACCCTACTCCAACAGTCAACTAGTGTCCACCCTTTGAGTGGCCTTACTTGTTTAGAAACCTTCTAAACAAATGGAAATGGCAGTCTACTCCTCCTTGTCCAGAGAAAGAAGGTAAAAAAGAATGGTTAACAACCAAATCCTTAACAGCTGCAAGGTGAGGTATTAAAACCTTTTACAGTGCAGATCAATGCCAGGTTGCTATAAACAACTAATGGGATGTGTCCTTAGACTCCAGGCCTTAACTTGGCAAGGTCTCTCTTCAGCATCGCAGAGAAGCAACTTTCACTACCCGCATCATCACTATTTCCTTATTTCCTGGCTATGTTGTCTAAGGAGCTTCCGCATTTGGGGATTTTACTTTTGGTGGTGTTCTCTCTCTCGCAGATCATAAACTCTTTTAAGACTCACAGCAATCGTATCATGTTTCCTTTGTAATCCTCACACTGAGCTAGTTTTCAGGAAATACTGATAATGCTGGTGCTACTGATGGGGAAGATAAAGACAGAATGGCCTATAGGTAGTATAAAGGGAAAGGAAAGGAACCGCACTACATTATATAGCTACAAAAAAACCTTTAAGTATCATTCCTTTCAAAAACACTGCATACACACAGTCTTCTTTCTGCACTTTTAAATTCTAGGTTGTCTTCCGAAAGCTGCCTACCCATATTAATATGACCTCAGCATGCAAGCATCCACACATGACAGTCATTTTAAAATGACAGTTTTAAAATCTTATGTCTTTTGAAGCCCTATGAGTAAGCAGATTTTGAAGGGGAGTTCTGGGGGCTTCTTTTTAAAATTTCTGTGAAGGCCTGCCATCTCACCCTCACAGTTATGAGGCCTTCTACCCTACAAAAGCCTCCTGACTGTGGGCACAGTGGGAGAAACAGCATAAATCCAAGGGTCTTGACATCTTTGTTTTGGGATGGAGACATTTCTTGAGTCCTGGAGATGTAAGTTATTTCTGCATAGCACACTATTTAGAAATATAATTGGTGACCTTTTTATTTTTCCTGGTTTCTATTTTCCCTGCAGAGTCTTGACCTTACCTTTGAAAGTCTATTGTTCCTGACCAGTTAGTAGGGTTTTTTTTTTTTTGCCATATTTTTATAGTCTAGGTAACATCCTTTCAAATCTTTCTATTAATTATAGATGGTTGTAACATAGTCTAGAAATAATTCTAAGGAAGTTAATGTCAACAGTAAAGGGCAAATTAGAAAGAGAAAATTTTTATTCAGACAGTTACAAGTTGGTCCTTCTATTCAGAATTCATTAAAAATATATAGGCTTTCTCAGTTAAATATAATGGAAATGAGTGTTAGCTATGCTGTTATAGAAATCAGTATTCTATGAAGGTGTTTAAAAATGTAGATTGGACATTTAAGACAGAAAATATTTATGAAGCTGAATTTTCTCTAGTCTAACTTTTTCTATGCATGTGGAAGCACTTTAATTACCACTATCCCAAAACAAAAATGGTTCCCCATCCCTAGAAGTGATAATCAATTCAGGAATTAAAAGAGCTTCTCAAGGGCTCAATGGGTAAAGTTGCTTGCTACTAAGCCTGAAAACCTAAATTCAATCCCTGGGACCCACATAGTTGAAGGAGAGAACAGGTTTCCACAAATTGTCCTCTGACCTCCACATATGTACCCTGGCATGAGCGTATCTGCACACACACACACACACACAATAAAATAAAAAAGAGCTGCTCAATTGAGTGAGATAATATAAATTCATTCCTTATCAATGTAATCTTTATTTGTGGATTATGTTTTAAATTTTTTTCATTAGAAAATGTCTTAAATTTATTTCCTTTAGAAAAGTGGCAAAATAGGTTAATTTAATCCCCTTTGTATATTTACTTATTTTTGTCTTGTTTTCACATTTACCTGCTTTATATTTCCAGGACAACTTTCTTTTCTATTAAGATGTAAAATACCATTGTCTGGTCTTCATGAGATCCCCCGCCCCCATACACACACAAGGAGCTGACCTGTAAGAGACAGGCAGTTGCGGAGGGTTCTGAGGCACACATTTGGGGCCACAACTGGTGGTTTTATGTTGGGACCCTGTTTACATGGCTGAACAGTCCCTCTTATGATGCTGAATTGAGCTACACATTTTTTCTGTCAGTTTCCAAACAGAAGATGCAGTTATCCCTTCCTATTTCAGAATATGTGATTCACAACAGGTGAGTCCAGCACTGGTGGAAAGCAAGAACAGAAACACAACTAAAGACAGAATTCCCAGCATACCTCCTGCCAGCTGACATCCCCAGACTGAGAGCCAGGAGACTTGAGTTCTTGCTCAGGACCTGCCACTGTTGATCTTCACCTCAACCACACCACTAACCTAACCTTTGCTCTTCACTGGTAAAGTGGAGCAGGGGCTAAGTCTAAAGTTACACATTATAACACTGTACTATGAACAGAAATTAAACCAAAGAGTCCTCGGCTCCATCAAGCATTGCCGTAGGTACCACAGAGATCAACCTGTATGCAACCATTTGTGGTGATGAGTCATACATTAATAGGCCTTGGTGAAAGTTTTCCTGAATACTCCTTAATATTGGGGCATTCTAAAACTATCAACTAGATTCCTTTCTAACCACTAATGTATCAACTTTATACTTAACCTCAAAGACAAAATCTAATTTTCCATAGTCAAAAAATACTCTATTTGCTGAATAAATGGGCTGTTCCTTAGTGTTGTTAGCTGGGAAATAGAGACTGTATTGTTAAAACTAAAATGCTCTTCATGCACAGAAATGCTTCACATCTGAGAATGACTTTTCTGGGAAGGCCTCCTGCCTTACCTAATCTTGTAACCAAAGTTAATCTTATGTTTTGAGATCAGCTTGCTTACAATGTAAACAATCTAAGTAGGCCTTGGGCTCATTTTATAATCAACTTTTACAAAAGCTAACACCTAGCTTTAATCTTAAACTATGTTTTTTTATTTTTTCCCTTACGACCCTTCCTTGCCCCTGACCCAGAATAGGGTGTGTGTGTGTCGTGAAAATATCATTGCCAAAAACACCAATGAGGAAAGAAAGAATTGCCCATAATAAATGTTGCAAACAGCATCTGGGCTGAAGTTGGTAACAGCTGTTTGCAGTTTTTTTGTGTTGCTCTGGGTCAGTAAGAGCCAGAAAAGGCAAATTCTTCCTTGAGGATGCAAAGTTTCTCATGCCTCTCCTGTATCATGTTGAATGTAGTATTTTAAATGAATAGAGTATGGCCTTTATTGGAGGGGCAGTTCTGAGAGAAAGCAGAACAGTTCTGAGAACAGATTGGGTTCACTCTTGGTTTAAATGACTAAGAATTAGACCTTTTCCTGTTCAGACACCACCACATTGTGGCATTAACCACACTAGAGTGTCTGGTTTCCCAACCCTGTAATGATCTACAAGGCTGGCTCTTGATGGAAAGACTCCTAAACTCACTCTTCTGTTCTTTCTTCTTGAAAACTAATAAGCCCAGAAGATGGTAAGTTGCTTGAACTAAGTGACACAGGTGCACTTACACACATGCAGGCAATACACTCATACACATAAAATAAA